CTGCGCGTGCCGTGGCACACGGGATTCGCGGTCACGACGTTCCCGAGCGGAAAAGGCTCAAGGGCAGATTACCAAGCATGCGGAGACTCGGGACTTCCAGAACCCTTCGGGCATGATCTCTGCCACGGGCCCTGCCAACATACCTACTCCAGCACCTCTTAGCCCGAAGATTGGTGTCCAGTTGGAGCTGAGGTTTTCTGCGACGTCGGCTCAAGCTAGCCTCGGCAACTGCAGGCACCCTCCTTTGAAGCTGCAACAAGCGGCTGAAATGCCTGCGCGCGGCACGAGGACACGTGCATGAGGTGCGATGCTCTGAGGCACAAGGAATTTGATAGGTTTCAGGCCGGGCGGCCGGACCTTGCTCGGCGATCGGGCCTTCACTGAACGCTCAAAACAGTCTGACATGAAGGCGTGTGCGGGCCCGTGGGCCTGCCAACTGCGAAAGCCTCTGGCCGGTGCAGGGAAACATGTCTTCACGACAGTACCAATGCATCAAAAGACGCGAGGCTTCATTTCAATCAGGCGGAATCACAGTGGCTTGCGGCCTCGAACATCTTAACGGCAAACATGAGAGCCGCGAGTGCTGCAGACGTGGCCAGGCACTTCGTCTCACCCCGAGACAGCCTGCCTTGGGCCGCAGCAAGTCCTCAAGTCCTCAACGCCGCCCTGACGCTTTGGCCCTGGAAGGCTTAGCACAGCAAGGCGGCCGCTGATCTGCCGAAGATCCCCGGCAGCGGGCCTAAACTCCAAACCTCCCTATGCCGGTAGCACGCAGAGAAGGCAGAGACACATCTGAAGGGCTTCGCAGGGCCCCGCTTTGGCTCCTTTTTACTGTCGCCTCCGCGAAGCCTTTGGAAGCTCAAGGATTTCTTATGAGGGGCCCTAATGACTTGCACCTCGGACGTAACCTCGCCCACTTCTCCTCGCCACGACTTGGGCAAGGAGGGACATCACCGGGTATAATTAGCGAGACACCAACGCCAACTGGCGGCACCGGCATGTTGCCTTCACCTCAGCACTTTTCCGAGAGGGTGCACTCGCCTCTCTTTCTCTCTCTCACACGGTTGTGGGGATGGATAGACGACAGAGGATACATGAACACAGATCTAGATATGTGTACATGTCATCAACATCGACACATACATTTTACCAATATGCTGCGTGATGCATGCTCCACGTGGTTCTTGTGTGGTGTGGCAGTATTGATGGTTGGCATGGCTGGCATGTTGAAGATCAGCGATTGACATATGAGCGCAAATATGAATGCGTAGCAATAGAATTTCTCACATTCGTTTATGAACTGTTGAAGTGGTTGAAGCTTCAGGAGTGACACTCTGTCCAAAATCAAGCGGGTGGCCTGCGAAATGTGGCTCAACCGTCATGTCTGCAAGAGGGCTCCTACTACGGTCCCTTCTTGAGGCATGGGAGCTGCGGATTCGCCCCCTTCTACCTTCGCTGCCGATAATCTGTACATCTGCCCCATCGTAAGCCAACGCACCCCTTGAACACTTGAAACCTTCAAGTTCAGTCGGCGACTGAAAATGATTCAGATTGCATTGCGCTCCTTTCGCCAGCAGCGCAGAACAGAGTCCGACTTTCAGTCGGCAGGAGTCGCCACAATCCTCCGGGTTGCAGACCACGTCCAGCGCGATCATCTTCACCACAAGCTCGAAGGAGAAGATGCGCTCACAGTCGCAAGAAATCGCAGGTGGCTCGTCGGATGGCCACCTCTATCACTCACGGCAAGGGCTGTGAATATGGTGCTCAGAACCTCGAGCACCTCCACAAGCGTGGCCAAAAGGAACAGTGACAGCTTTTCTCGCACAACTCCAATCACAAGTCCATCCCCTGCCTGAACTTGGGCGCCACGCACTTCTCAACTTCTCAAGGCGTGGTCAGGCAAAACTGCGAAGATGATGAGGCCCGGCCCGGAAGGCTCAGGGAACTGTGCTGCAGGAGGTCGGCAGGGGGACTCCGGGCCTCTGGCGCAAGGCCGAAGACCAGGCCACAAAGACCCCTGTCATAGCCAGCTGCTTCAGCCACGATCGACGACTCCGGGGGCCATCCGCCTCATTGCTGATGCCGGTGTCCGTGTTCACCTCTGGGATGACATCCACCCAGGCACCGGCTTGGCTTTGAACCGGCTTGGCAAGTGTTACGCAATCGGCCTTCTCTGAAGACCAGACCATACATAAAACGTGGGGCCGGCGTCTTGCATGGTCTTGCGGTTCCGGGCACCGCCCTTTTGTGGTGGCCGAGGTGCGCCTCCGTGTGGTCCAGCAGCGGCTTCAGCAGCGACGCATCGCAGGCAACCAGTGCCAAACGACTTCGGTGCAGATCCAGACCGACGAGCCGCTCTTGCATGGAAAAGCATCCGATCACACCGAAGTCCTTGCATGACCACCACGCAGACCGTCACGGAGGCCACTCGCAAGAGCGCCAATCGCCGAGTTGCGTCGGCGACGACATCGGCCTGCTGAGCTGCCGTAGTCACTATTGCTTCTGGTGTCAGTTTCAACTCACAGGAAACCTTGAGTTTGTCTGGGCCTCCAGTTCGCCACCGAAGGCGATGTCCGGGGAAGGCAGACCTGCACCCAGCCAGGTTTGTCCCTTCGCGTCCGGGAGCGTCGACAGCCTCTTGGGCAGGGGCCGCACAGCGCCAGCAGCACCGCGTTCTTCGGCTTCGGGAGATCGCAGAGGAGGTCCTCCGCAGCAGAAAGGGCCCCTAAAAAAGCACGTAAGCAAAAATTAGGATAGGCATATCCCACTATAAACCCTGAAGCCCCATAGGGTAGGGATGCACCTGTAAAATGCTTATGATACTGCTTCTGTGCTTGCACCACGGAGCGAAGAGAGAAACCGACGGATGGATGTGCCCTTCGGGGTCCTCGGAGGCGGAGCTGGAGCTGAGCCTTTGCTGAGGACCACAGTCCACTGGGGCTCCCCGTTGGCTCCCACAAGGAAGCAGGCTCGGCGCACACAGAGCAAACAGAGAAGCACCGGGCAGCCGGCACGACGAGGCTCTGCGTCATGTGCGAAGCCAACTCCAGGTCGACCGCATTGGTCAGCCCTGCGTGTGTGCGATGGGATCCACGTGACAAGAGCGCACAGCCGAGGCATGGCCTGCGCAGCCCAGGGCCAGTTGGCACACCAGCTCCATGGCCTGCTAGGCAGCGGTCCATACTCCACCAGACAGCGGCCCTGCATTCCTTGCGAAACTTATACAGTCAACTTACCATCCTGCCTTTTCAAGCAAGACTGGGCAGCAATGAATTCGCGCTGCGGATTTCGGAGTGGCCTGTGGCGGCGTGACGGCATCCATTCCTCCAGGCAGATCCAGAGTTTCCCGGACCTGCACGTCGCTACATAATACTGCCAAAGATAGTTAAAGACAGTCAGACGCACCCACACTGCCCTCCTCTCCCTCTCCCTCTGACTCTGTCTGCATCCACCGTCACCGGGCGCATGGCATGGCAGCCATGAGGATCAACGACAGGATGCTGAAGACCTCTCTTCAAACAGGGTCGAGGGCAGGCTGCTCAACAGAGCGGCAGTAAGCGATAGTTTAGCGGCTCGCCGAACGGCTGAACACAATGAAGGGCCACGACTGTCTTTGACTTTCTAGGCTTCCCACCCTCAAACGCGAAGTTCTTCTTCCTCCGTAAATTGCCCGGAGGGGCAGCAGCAAGACACTGCTTCCCACATGGCCTTGGTGATCCGGAAACTTTGCACTTCGACAGCAGGGTTCAGTAGCATAGCTGAGGACACCGGCATGCGCGAAACCAAGGACCGTTCTCTTCTGCCACCTGGCCTGCAAAGCTGCCGGCTGGAGCCATGAGGCGAAAGTCAAACAGGTCTGCGATTGCGGTGAAGTGCAGCATCAGTGTTACTGCCAATGTTGGCAGGGTCTAGTGCACTTCTCACCTTGCCGAGCCTTTCGCTAGGTTTCTGTCTTCACCTGCCGAAACCTTGAAACTTGAAAATTAATGGGGATGCAGCTGCAGCTGACGTTGAAAACACTTTCCCCAAAAGCGATCGAATCCGGTCAAAGCCCAGAGAGACCTAGAGACAAAGAGACGAGCATTATAGAAGCAGAAGTTCAACAAGAATGCCGGCACAGACGCACAAAGAGGAAGCAGAGTTCTTCATGCCCAGCCTTCTTGTGCACCTGCTCCACATACCAAAGGACTTCTGCCTCTGTCATGGCCTTGGCTGGAAGCCATCCCCGCGCTGCAGTCACAGACCCAGCAGACCCAGCTTTCATGGGATTGTCAACCGACTGGGCTGCCGCGCATGAGGTTCTTCCGAATTAGGAAGCACCGCGAAAAAAGGCCATCCCCAATACCACTCCGCGTCAAGCATGTTGACAAGCTATAGGAGCACACGAGCCGTAAGCATCGGACTTCATTGAGAAATCTCAGCAACATCCGGCAAGCAAGCTGCATCGATGGACACTGCACAGGCACGGTGGTGGGTCGATCATTTACACATAATGTGGGTTAGCAGGTGGCCCCTCCCCCTCCCGTCGTGGCCAAGCAACAAAACTCGGGGGAAGCCCGATACTGTTTCGACGGCGCAGAGAGGTAAAGGTGGCAAGGGAGGCAAAGGCAACGGGCAGGCCTTGAAGCATGCTTGCCTGTGCAGTGATCGACAGGGATGACTGCTCACTACCGTTGGTGCCTGGGTGCAGGCATGTACGTTCATGCGCTGTACCGATTGTTTCGAAGAAATGGCACACACACACACACACCTGCCTGAGTTGCATCCCCCCCCCCCCACTCATCCCCGCATGTTCCTTGACCATACTTGCGCACTGGTGCCTGGTGCCAGGGGGGGAGGGAGCAAGCAAAGTCCAACTTTTCTCGATATCCATGCATGATGATTCCGGATCGGGCTTGCCCGATGTAACTAGGTAAACTTTCCATCATTCAGCATTCAATCTCCTTGGCGTCGTCCTCCACAAAAGCACACTTCGTCCACAGCCACGGACTGCCGAGACATCAAGCTGCGAGGGAAATTCGCGTTGGACTCGTGCAGCTCGCAGTGAGAGCTCGCCTCCAGCAATGATGGCTCCGGGTTGGCACGATCGAAGTCGGACTCGCCGTAGAACTGCCCTGATGTCCCAAAGACCTTCTCGAAATACTGCAGCAGCCGCACATTGCCCTTTGTGATGTGTGCGCCGGACACGGGCAGGTCCTGATTCAACATGCAACACTGACGGCCGGAATCGGACAGACACGGTCCATTACAAATGCCTCGGCATCGAAGAAAGCACAAACATCCGACCGAGTCTGTGCGCTCTGCAACTTTATCAAAATATGACGGGTGGCCAGACTTGTGTAAAGAACGTATCCTCTGAGCTTGTTGCGCTCATGCTGTGAATTGAGCATGGACGCCAGATGGGCCAGATGGCCAGTGAGCTAAATGACCAACGCGGCCAACGGAGTTTTATTTACATTGTGTAGACTCTAGACTGGATCGTTTGCTCTGCTTCGCGGCGGGGCGGTGGTCAAATTACATACGGACTTGTCTCTGACACCGCCTCGCTACCGGCATCTATTCTCAGGCAACAGTCGCTCAACGATAGACAGTGTTAACAGGCAGCACATGATGGCGACGTCATGTTTCAACACCTAAAGAGTGCGAGCCATACATGAAAATGCTGCCATCACAGTCTCAGAACTTGCAAAACTTCAGTCCTGCCAAGGCGCATGCCGTCCAAAACGAGCCCTCTTCCTGCAGCACACGGAGCCCCCGTGCCATTGCTGTCCTGGCAGGTGGCCTGCGATGCATTCAGCCGGTGGATGTGCCAGTGCTCCGATAGCGCCTGAGGCGCATCCACACCCAGCTCCCGCCCGGCGAGCTGCTTGAAGGCGTGGATTTTGGAGATGGTCCAATCGAAGTCAAAGTCCGCATGCTTCAACCTTCCCCGCTGTGCTGATGGTGCTGCAGCAGGTCTTGCAGCTTGCTCGAGTGGGCCTGACTTGAACATGCCACTGAAGCCTGCACGCGACACAGATGACACAGGGTTCTTGGCCGGCGATGCGCCTTCTCGCGAATGTGATGGGGGCGCTGCTTGCGGCTTTGCCACCACTTTCACCACTGCCTGCGTCTCCACAGCATCTGAAGCAAAAGCGCCAGCTCGATGTCGGAGCTCCTTCATCTCGATCTCTGTCAGAGTCATCCCACGCCTCTTGGACACGAACATGCTACGGCAGATGCCCTGAATGGATTCAATCTCCTGGGCGTCGGCCTCCACAGAGCACGCTTCGTCCACAGCCACGGACTGCCGAGACATCCAGCTGCGAAGGAAACTCGCGATGGACTCGTGCAGCTCGCAGTGAGAGCTCGCCTCCAGCAGTGATGGCTCCGGGTTGGCACGATCGAAGTCGGACTCGCCGTAGAACTGCCCTGATGTCCCAACGACCTTCTCGAAGTACTGCAGCAGCCCCAAATTGCCCTTTGTGATGTGAGCGCCGGACACCTTTACTGTAAACTCGAAAAGAAGCTGTTCAGCTGCCCCACGCGCGCAGGTCCTGATTCAACATGCAACACTGACGGCCGGAATCGGACAGACACGGTCCATTACAAATGCCTCGGCATCGAAGAAAGCACAAACATCCGACCGAGTCTGTGCGCTCTGCAACTTTATCAAAAGATGACGGGTGGCCAGACTTGTGTAAAGAACGTATCCTCTGAGCTTGTTGCGCTCATGCTGTGAATTGAGCATGGACGCCAGATGGGCCAGATGGCCAGTGAGCTAAATGAACAACGCGGCCAACGGAGTTTTAATTGCATTGTGTAGACTCTAGACTGGATGGTTTGCTCTGCTTCGCGGCGGGGCGGTGGTCAAATTACATACGGACTTGTCTCTGACACCGCCTCGCTACCGGCATCTATTCTCAGGCAACAGTCGCTCAACGATAGACAGTGTTAACAGGCAGCACATGATGGCGACGTCATGTTTCAACACCTAAAGAGTGCGAGCCATACATGAAAATGCTGCCATCACAGTCTCAGAACTTGCAAAACTTCAGTCCTGCCAAGGCGCATGCCGTCCAAAACGAGCCCTCTTCCTGCAGCACACGGAGCCCCCGTGCCATTGCTGTCCTGGCAGGTGGCCTGCGATGCATTCAGCCGGTGGATGTGCCAGTGCTCCGATAGCGCCTGAGGCGCATCCACACCCAGCTCCCGCCCGGCGAGCTGCTTGAAGGCGTGGATTTTGGAGATGGTCCAATCGAAGTCAAAGTCCGCCTGCTTCAACCTTCCCCGCTGTGCTGATGGTGCTGCAGCAGGTCTTGCAGCTTGCTCGAGTGGGCCTGACTTGAACATGCCACTGAAGCCTGCACGCGACACAGATGACACAGGGTTCTTGGCCGGCGATGCGCCTTCTCGCGAATGTGATGGGGGCGCTGCTTGCGGCTTTGCCACCACTTTCACCACTGCCTGCGTCTCCACAGCATCTGAAGCAAAAGCTCCAGCTCGATGTCGGAGCTCCTTCATCTCGATCTCTGTCAGAGTCATCCCACGCCTCTTGGACACGAACATGCTACGGCAGATGCCCTGAATGGATTCAATCTCCTGGGCGTCGGCCTCCACAAAACACGCTTCGTCCACAGCCACGGACTGCCGAGACATCAAGCTGCGAAGGAAACTCGCGTTGGACCCGTGCAGCTCGCAGACAGAGCCATGGGACTCGCCGTAGAAATACTGCAGCAGCCCTTCGTGCTCCAGGAGGTCTTCGCAGGCCCTCACGTTGCCCTTCGCGATGCTGGATGCCTTTGGGCTCCAGAAGAAGCTACAAACCAAGACTTGAAAGCAGTGATCAGAGATCTGGGGCACACGACCAAAAGCAGTCACGAACATGCTGGAATCTGGTCGCTCCGCGACTCTCTTAAACAAACTAGGCATGCAATTTCAGCGTCATGGTGAAGTCAAGCAGGCGATAAGACTGGCTGGTGACTTGTTATCCTGAGTTCTGTATTGTTATGCTTCGTAAGTGCCACATGTCGCGAGCTGGCCAGTGAGCAATACGACGAATGAGGCAAACAAAGACTAACATGTCCTGCACTGCTGCAATGTGTTCTTCTGCTCTGTCAAAGCTTTCGTTTTACTTTGAAAGTGAATGCACTTTTGAGCTGTGGTTGGTCGGAAGGATCACGTGGTGATCTAGATAATAAACTATGCAGAGCATGCAACTGCCCTACGCTCCAAACAGCTCTCACATCCAGCCAGAAACACGCTTTATGTATCGCTAAAGTCTTAATTGTCTCTTCGGAGCATGTGCATGGCACCCAGCCCTTGATTCAATTTGAACCCCCGCTCGTTCGGTGATCGCCTTGCGAAACCAACAGCGTCGACAGACAAAACTGCGTGGTAACACATGGTGGCGTCTTCCTGCTTCTGCTGCCGTAAAAAAGATTTCTCGTGAGTGCGAGCCATGCGCGGGCTCACATCAGAAACACTTTCCAGAGCCTCTTGAAGGGCCTTGTAAACAAGGTTTGTATACGAACTCGAGAGCTCATGGACCAAAGGACGACCGAGATGTCGAAAGACAGAGGAAATGCTGGAATGAGCAATGACACCAAAAACCCTCCATACAGAATCAGTCTCCTCTTGTTTCCTTTCGCGATACAGATTGTGTTCAAACTTCGCGGGCTCACATACGTGTGAAATCTGGGAGCGACGGTGTAGAGGCTGAGAGTTGGGTTAGGATCTTCTTGCACAGGACTCTTCGAAAATATAGGTCTGTTAAGCTGTTTTTTATGCCAATTTCGACAGGTACCCAAATCCTGTGGTGGGACGCCTCACATGGCATCAGTTAAACTTCTCCACTCTTGTCTGATAAACTCTGATAAAGCCCTGAAATCCAGCCTCAGTCGTCATGCGGCTGGCTTTGCTGGCATTGGCAGCTCTGCAGCACCGTGCTGACGAGATTGCACAGTAGCTGCCACCTCAAGTCATAAACAAAGAGCTCTCCGGATCGCTTGGCAGGTCAAGCCTGAGGCTTCGGCAGGGTCGGCTGAGACTGGGCTTCAGGCACAGCCGCAGCAGGAGGCGAGGGAGGTTCTGGCTTCATCATGCTGATTTGACAGAGAAACAGTTCTTGCTTGCGTGTTCGCGTGCTTGCTTTCGGTTCGACCGTCTCTTTGCTTTCGCTTGGGCAAGAAATCGCAGGTGGCTCGTCGGATGGCCACCTCTATCACTCACGGCAAGGGCTGTGAATATGGTGCTCAGAACCTCGAGCACCTCCACAAGCGTGGCCAAAAGGAACAGTGACAGCTTTTCTCGCACAACTCCAATCACAAGTCCATCCCCTGCCTGAACTTGGGCGCCACGCACTTCTCAACTTCTCAAGGCGTGGTCAGGTAAAACTGCGAAGATGATGAGGCCCGGCCCGGAAGGCTCAGGGAACTGTGCTGCAGGAGGTCGGCAGGGGGACTCCGGGCCTCTGGCGCAAGGCCGAAGACCAGGCCACAAAGACTCCACGATCGACGACTCCGGGGGCCATCCGCCTCATTGCTGATGCCGGTGTCCGTGTTCACCTCTGGGATGACATCCACCCAGGCACCGGCTTGGCTTTGAACCGGCTTGGCAAGTGTTACGCAATCGGCCTTCTCTGAAGACCAGACCACACATAAAACGTGGGGCCGGCGTCTTGCATGGTCTTGCGGTTCCGGGCACCGCCCTTTTGTGGTGGCCGAGGTGCGCCTCCGTGTGGTCCAGCAGCGGCTTCAGCAGCGACGCATCGCAGGCAACCAGTGCCAAACGACTTCGGTGCAGATCCAGACAGACGAGCCGCTCTTGCATGGAAAAGCATCCGATCACACCGAAGTCCTTGTATGACCACCACGCAGACCGTCACGGAGGCCACTCGCAAGAGCGCCAATCGCCGAGTTGCGTCGGCGACGACATCGGCCTGCTGAGCTGCCGTAGCTCACTATTGCTTCTGGTGTCAGTTTCAACTCACAGGAAACCTTGAGTTTGTCTGGGCCTCCAGTTCGCCACCGAAGGCGATGTCCGGGAAGGCAGACCTGCACCCAGCCAGGTTTGTCCCTTCGCGTCCGGGAGCGTCGACAGCCTCTTGGGCAGGGGCCGCACAGCGCCAGCAGCACCGCGTTCTTCGGCTTCGGGAGATCGCAGAGGAGGTCCTCCGCAGCAGAAAGGGCCCCCAAAAAAGCACATAAGCAAAAATTAGGATAGGCATATCCCACTAGAAACCCTGAAGCCCCATAGGGTAGGGATGCACCTGTAAAATGCTTGTGATACTGCTTCTGTGCTTGCACCACGGAGCGAAGAGAGAAACCGACGGATGGATGTGCCCTTCGGGGTCCTCCGAGGCGGAGCTGGAGCTGAGCCTTTGCTGAGGACCACAGTCCACTGGGGCTCCCCGTTGGCTCCCACAAGGAAGCAGGCTCGGCGCACACAGAGCAAACAGAGAAGCACCGGGCAGCCGGCACGACGAGGCTCTGCGTCATGTGCGAAGCCAACTCCAGGTCTACCGCATTGGTCAGCCCTGCGTGTGTGCAATGGGATCCACGTGACAAGAGCGCACAGCCGAGGCAGGGCCTGCGCGGCCCAGGGCCAGTTGGCACACCAGCGCGATGGCCTGCTACGCAGCGGTCCATACTCCACCGGACAGCGGCCCTGCATTCCTTGCGAAACTTATACAGTCAACTTACCATCCTGCCTTTTCAAGCAAGACTGGGCAGCAATGAATTCGCGCTGCGGATTTCGGAGTGGCCTGTGGCGGCGTGACGGCATCCATTCCTCCAGGCAGATCCAGAGTTTCCCGGACCTGCACGTCGCTACATATTACTGCCAAAGATAGTTAAAGACAGTCAGACGCACCCACACTGCCCTCCTCTCCCTCTCCCTCTGACTCTGTGTCTCTGCACCGTCACCGGGCGCATGGCATGGCAGCCATGAGGATCGACGACAGGATGCTGAAGACCTCTCTTCAAACAGGGTCGAGGGCAGGCTGCTCAACAGAGCGGCAGTAAGCGATAGTTTAGCGGCTCGCCGAACGGCTGAACACAATGAAGGGCCACGACTGTCTTTGACTTTCTAGGCTTCCCACCCTCAAACGCGAAGTTCTTCTTCCTCCGTAAATTGCCCGGAGGGGCAGCAGCAAGACACTGCTTCCCACATGGCCTTGGTGATCCGGAAACTTTGCACTTCGACAGCAGGGTTCAGTAGCATAGCTGAGGACACCGGCATGCGCGAAACCAAGGACCGTTCTCTTCTGCCACCTGGCCTGCAAAGCTGCCGGCTGGAGCCATGAGGCGAAAGTCAAACAGGTCTGCGATTGCGGTGAAGTGCAGCATCAGTGTTACTGCCAATGTTGGCAGGGTCTAGTGCACTTCTCACCTTGCCGAGCCTTTCGCTAGGTTTCTGTCTTCACCTGCCGAAACCTTGAAACTTGAAAATTAATGGGGATGCAGCTGCAGCTGACGTTGAAAACACTTTCCCCAAAAGCGATCGAATCCGGTCAAAGCCCAGAGAGACCTAGAGACAAAGAGACGAGCATTATAGAAGCAGAAGTTCAACAAGAATGCCGGCACAGACGCACAAAGAGGAAGCAGAGTTCTTCATGCCCAGCCTTCTTGTGCACCTGCTCCACATACCAAAGGACTTCTGCCTCTGTCATGGCCTTGGCTGGAAGCCATCCCCGCGCTGCAGTCACAGACCCAGCAGACCCAGCTTTCATGGGATTGTCAACCGACTGGGCTGCCGCGCATGAGGTTCTTCCGAATTAGGAAGCACCGCGAAAAAAGGCCATCCCCAATACCACTCCGCGTCAAGCATGTTGACAAGCTATAGGAGCACACGAGCCGTAAGCATCGGACTTCATTGAGAAATCTCAGCAACATCCGGCAAGCAAGCTGCATCGATGGACACTGCACAGGCACGGTGGTGGGTCGATCATTTACACATAATGTGGGTTAGCAGGTGGCCCCTCCCCCTCCCGTCGTGGCCAAGCAACAAAACTCGGGGGAAGCCCGATACTGTTTCGACGGCGCAGAGAGGTAAAGGTGGCAAGGGAGGCAAAGGCAACGGGCAGGCCTTGAAGCATGCTTGCCTGTGCAGTGATCGACAGGGATGACTGCTCACTACCGTTGGTGCCTGGGTGCAGGCATGTACGTTCATGCGCTGTACCGATTGTTTCGAAGAAATGGCACACACACACACACACACACACATGCCTGAGTTGCACCCCCCCCCGCACTCATCCCCGCATGTTCCTTGACCATACTTGCGCACTGGTGCCTGGTGCCAGGGGGGAGGGAGCAAGCAAAGTCCAACTTTTCTCGTTATCCATGCATGATGATTCCGGATCGGGCTTGCCCGATGTAACTAGGTAAACTTTCCATCATTCAGCATTCAATCTCCTTGGCGTCGTCCTCCACAAAAGCACACTTCGTCCACAGCCACGGACTGCCGAGACATCAAGCTGCGAGGGAAATTCGCGTTGGACTCGTGCAGCTCGCAGTGAGAGCTCGCCTCCAGCAATGATGGCTCCGGGTTGGCACGATCGAAGTCGGACTCGCCGTAGAACTGCCCTGATGTCCCAAAGACCTTCTCGAAATACTGCAGCAGCCGCACATTGCCCTTTGTGATGTGTGCGCCGGACACGCGCAGGTCCTGATTCAACATGCAACACTGACGGCCGGAATCGGACAGACACGGTCCATTACACATGCCTCGGCATCGAAGAAAGCACAGACATCCGACCGAGTCTGACAGAGTCTGTGCGCTCTGCAACTTTATCAAAAGATGACGGGTGGCCAGACTTGTGTAAAGAACGTATCCTCTGAGCTTGTTGCGCTCATGCTGTGAATTGAGCATGGACGCCAGATGGGCCAGATGGCCAGTGAGCTAAATGACCAACGCGGCCAACGGAGTTTTAATTGCATTGTGTAGACTCTAGACTGGATGGTTTGCTCTGCTTCGCGGCGGGGCGGTGGTCAAATTACATACGGACTTGTCTCTGACACCGCCTCGCTACCGGCATCTATTCTCAGGCAACAGTCGCTCAACGATAGACAGTGTTAACAGGCAGCACATGATGGCGACGTCATGTTTCAACACCTAAAGAGTGCGAGCCATACATGAAAATGCTGCCATCACAGTCTCAGAACTTGCAAAACTTCAGTCCTGCCAAGGCGCATGCCGTCCAAAACGAGCCCTCTTCCTGCAGCACACGGAGCCCCCGTGCCATTGCTGTCCTGGCAGGTGGCCTGCGATGCATTCAGCCGGTGGATGTGCCAGTGCTCCGATAGCGCCTGAGGCGCATCCACACCCAGCTCCCGCCCGGCGAGCTGCTTGAAGGCGTGGATTTTGGAGATGGTCCAATCGAAGTCAAAGTCCGCCTGCTTCAACCTTCCCCGCTGTGCTGATGGTGCTGCAGCAGGTCTTGCAGCTTGCTCGAGTGGGCCTGACTTGAACATGCCACTGAAGCCTGCACGCGACACAGATGACACAGGGTTCTTGGCCGGCGATGCGCCTTCTCGCGAATGTGATGGGGGCGCTGCTTGCGGCTTTGCCACCACTTTCACCACTGCCTGCGTCTCCACAGCATCTGAAGCAAAAGCGCCAGCTCGATGTCGGAGCTCCTTCATCTCGATCTCTGTCAGAGTCATCCCACGCCTCTTGGACACGAACATGCTACGGCAGATGCCCTGAATGGATTCAATCTCCTGGGCGTCGGCCTCCACAGAGCACGCTTCGTCCACAGCCACGGACTGCCGAGACATCCAGCTGCGAAGGAAACTCGCGATGGACTCGTGCAGCTCGCAGTGAGAGCTCGCCTCCAGCAATGATGGCTCCGGGTTGGCACGATCGAAGTCGGACTCGCCGTAGAACTGCCCTGATGTCCCAAAGACCTTCTCGAAGTACTGCAGCAGCCCCAAATTGCCCTTTGTGATGTGTGCGCCGGACACCTTTACTGTAAACTCGAAAAGAAGCTGTTCAGCTGCCCCACGCGCGCAGGTCCTGATTCAACATGCAACACTGACGGCCGGAATCGGACAGACACGGTCCATTACAAATGCCTCGGCATCGAAGAAAGCACAGACATCCGACCGAGTCGGACAGAGTCTGTGCGCTCTGCAACTTTATCAAAAGATGACGGGTGGCCAGACTTGTGTAAAGAACGTATCCTCTGAGCTTGTTGCGCTCATGCTGTGAATTGAGCATGGACGCCAGATGGGCCAGATGGCCAGTGAGCTAAATGACCAACGCGGCCAACGGAGTTTTAATTACATTGTGTAGACTCTAGACTGGATGGTTTGCTCTGCTTCGCGGCGGGGCGGTGGTCAAATTACATACGGACTTGTCTCTGAACAGTCGCTCAACGATAGACAGTGTTAACAGGCAGCACATGGCACATGATGGCGACGTCATGTTTCAACACCTAAAGAGTGCGAGCCATACATGAAAATGCTGCCATCACAGTCTCAGAACTTGCAAAACTTCAGTCCTGCCAAGGCGCATGCCGTCCAAAACGAGCCCTCTTCCTGCAGCACACGGAGCCCCCGTGCCATTGCTGTCCTGGCAGGTGGCCTGCGATGCATTCAGCCGGTGGATGTGCCAGTGCTCCGATAGCGCCTGAGGCCGCATCCACACCCAGCTCCCGCCCGGCGAGCTGCTTGAAGGCGTGGATTTTGGAGATGGTCCAATCGAAGTCAAAGTCCGCATGCTTCAACCTTCCCCGCTGTGCTGATGGTGCTGCAGCAGGTCTTGCAGCTTGCTCGAGTGGGCCTGACTTGAACATGCCACTGAAGCCTGCACGCGACACAGATGACACAGGGTTCTTGGCCGGCGATGCGCCTTCTGGCGAATGTGGTGGGGGCGCTGCTTGCGGCTTTGCCACCACTTTCACCACTGCCTGCGTCTCCACAGCATCTGAAGCAAAAGCGCCAGCTCGATGTCGGAGCTCCTTCATCTCGATCTCTGTCAGAGTCATCCCACGCCTCTTGGACACGAACATGCTACGGCAGATGCCCTGAATGGATTCAATCTCCTGGGCGTCGGCCTCCACAAAACACGCTTCGTCCACAGCCACGGACTGCCGAGACATCAAGCTGCGAAGGAAACTCGCGTTGGACCCGTGCAGCTCGCAGACAGAGCCATGGGACTCGCCGTAGAAATACTGCAGCAGCCCTTCGTGCTCCAGGAGGTCTTTGCAGGCCCTCACGTTGCCCTTCGCGATGCTGGATGCCTTTGGGCTCCAGAAGAAGCTACAAACCAAGACTTGAAAGCAGTGATCAGAGATCTGGGGCACACGACCAAAAGCAGTCACGAACATGCTGGAATCTGGTCGCTCCGCGACTCTCTTAAACAAACTAGGCATGCAATTTCAGCGTCATGGTGAAGTCAAGCAGGCGATAAGACTGGCTGGTGACTTGTTATCCTGAGTTCTGTATTGTTATGCTTCGTAAGTGCCACATGTCGCGAGCTGGCCAGTGAGCAATACGACGAATGAGGCAAACAAAGACTAACATGTCCTGCACTGCTGCAATGTGTTCTTCTGCTCTGTCAAAGCTTTCGTGTTACTTTGAAAGTGAATGCACTTTTGAGCTGTGGTTGGTCGGAAGGATCACGTGGTGATCTAGATAATAAACTATGCAGAGCATGCAACTGCCCTACGCTCCAAACAGCTCTCACATCCAGCCAGAAACACGCTTTATGTATCGCTAAAGTCTTAATTGTCTCTTCGGAGCATGTGCATGGCACCCAGCCCTTGATTCAATTTGAACCCCCGCTCGTTCGGTGATCGCCTTGCGAAACCAACAGCGTCGACAGACAAAACTGCGTGGTAACACATGGTGGCGTCTTCCTGCTTCTGCTGCCGTAAAAAAGATTTCTCGTGAGTGCGAGCCATGCGCGGGCTCACATCAGAAACACTTTCCAGAGCCTCTTGAAGGGCCTTGTAAACAAGGTTTGTATACGAACTCGAGAGCTCATGGACCAAAGGACGACCGAGATGTCGAAAGACAGAGGAAATGCTGGAATGAGCAATGACACCAAAAACCCTCCATACAGAATCAGTCTCCTCTTGTTTCCTTTCGCGATACAGATTTGTGTTCAAACTTCGCGGGCTCACATACGTGTGAAATCTGGGAGCGACGGTGTAGAGGCTGAGAGTTGGGTTAGGATCTTCTTGCACAGGACTCTTCGAAAATATAGGTCTGTTAAGCTGTTTTTTTATGCCAATTTCGACCCGTACCCAAATCCTGTGGTGGGACGCCTCACATGGCATCAGTTAAACTTCTCCACTCTTGTCTGATAAACTCTGATAAAGCCCTGAAATCCAGCCTCAGTCGTCATGCGGCTGGCTTTGCTGGCATTGGCAGCTCTGCAGCACCGTGCTGACGAGATTGCACAGTAGCTGCCACCTCAAGTCATAAACAAAGAGCTCTCCGGATCGCTTGGCAGGTCAAGCCTGAGGCTTCGGCAGGGTCGGCTGAGACTGGGCTTCAGGCACAGCCGCAGCAGGAGGCGAGGGAGGTTCTGGCTTCATCATGCTGATTTGACAGAGAAACAGTTCTTGCTTGCGTGTTCGCGTGCTTGCTTTCGGTTCGACCGTCTCTTTGCTTTCGCTTGGGCAAGAAATCGCAGGTGGCTCGTCGGATGGCCACCTCTATCACTCACGGCAAGGGCTGTGAATATGGTGCTCAGAACCTCGAGCACCTCCACAAGCGTGGCCAAAAGGAACAGTGACAGCTTTTCTCGCACAACTCCAATCACAAGTCCATCCCCTGCCTGAACTTGGGCGCCACGCACTTCTCAACTTCTCAAGGCGTGGTCAGGTAAAACTGCGAAGATGATGAGGCCCGGCCCGGAAGGCTCAGGGAACTGTGCTGCAGGAGGTCGGCAGGGGGACTCCGGGCCTCTGGCGCAAGGCCGAAGACCAGGCCACAAAGACTCCACGATCGACGACTCCGGGGGCCATCCGCCTCATTGCTGATGCCGGTGTCCGTGTTCACCTCTGGGATGACATCCACCCAGGCACCGGCTTGGCTTTGAACCGGCTTGGCAAGTGTTACGCAATCGGCCTTCTCTGAAGACCAGACCACACATAAAACGTGGGGCCGGCGTCTTGCATGGTCTTGCGGTTCCGGGCACCGCCCTTTTGTGGTGGCCGAGGTGCGCCTCCGTGTGGTCCAGCAGCGGCTTCAGCAGCGACGCATCGCAGGCAACCAGTGCCAAACGACTTCGGTGCAGATCCAGACAGACGAGCCGCTCTTGCATGGAAAAGCATCCGATCACACCGAAGTCCTTGTATGACCACCACGCAGACCGTCACGGAGGCCACTCGCAAGAGCGCCAATCGCCGAGTTGCGTCGGCGACGACATCGGCCTGCTGAGCTGCCGTAGCTCACTATTGCTTCTGGTGTCAGTTTCAACTCACAGGAAACCTTGAGTTTGTCTGGGCCTCCAGTTCGCCACCGAAGGCGATGTCCGGGAAGGCAGACCTGCACCCAGCCAGGTTTGTCCCTTCGCGTCCGGGAGCGTCGACAGCCTCTTGGGCAGGGGCCGCACAGCGAAAGCAGCACCGCGTTCTTCGGCTTCGGGAGATCGCAGAGGAGGTCCTCCGCAGCAGAAAGGGCCCCCAAAAAAGCACATAAGCAAAAATTAGGATAGGCATATCCCACTAGAAACCCTGAAGCCCCATAGGGTAGGGATGCACCTGTAAAATGCTTGTGATACTGCTTCTGTGCTTGCACCACGGAGCGAAGAGAGAAACCGACGGATGGATGTGCCCTTCGGGGTCCTCCGAGGCGGAGCTGGAGCTGAGCCTTTGCTGAGGACCACAGTCCACTGGGGCTCCCCGTTGGCTCCCACAAGGAAGCAGGCTCGGCGCACACAGAGCAAACAGAGAAGCACCGGGCAGCCGGCACGACGAGGCTCTGCGTCATGTGCGAAGCCAACTCCAGGTCTACCGCATTGGTCAGCCCTGCGTGTGTGCAATGGGATCCACGTGACAAGAGCGCACAGCCGAGGCAGGGCCTGCGCGGCCCAGGGCCAGTTGGCACACCAGCGCGATGGCCTGCTACGCAGCGGTCCATACTCCACCGGACAGCGGCCCTGCATTCCTTGCGAAACTTATACAGTCAACTTACCATCCTGCCTTTTCAAGCAAGACTGGGCAGCAATGAATTCGCGCTGCGGATTTCGGAGTGGCCTGTGGCGGCGTGACGGCATCCATTCCTCCAGGCAGATCCAGAGTTTCCCGGACCTGCACGTCGCTACATAATACTGCCAAAGATAGTTAAAGACAGTCAGACGCACCCACACTGCCCTCCTCTCCCTCTCCCTCTGACTCTGTCTGCATCCACCGTCACCGGGCGCATGGCATGGCAGCCATGAGGATCAACGACAGGATGCTGAAGACCTCTCTTCAAACAGGGTCGAGGGCAGGCTGCTCAACAGAGCGGCAGTAAGCGATAGTTTAGCGGCTCGCCGAACGGCTGAACACAATGAAGGGCCACGACTGTCTTTGACTTTCTAGGCTTCCCACCCTCAAACGCGAAGTTCTTCTTCCTCCGTAAATTGCCCGGAGGGGCAGCAGCAAGACACTGCTTCCCACATGGCCTTGGTGATCCGGAAACTTTGCACTTCGACAGCAGGGTTCAGTAGCATAGCTGAGGACACCGGCATGCGCGAAACCAAGGACCGTTCTCTTCTGCCACCTGGCCTGCAAAGCTGCCGGCTGGAGCCATGAGGCGAAAGTCAAACAGGTCTGCGATTGCGGTGAAGTGCAGCATCGGGTGCAACTCAGGCAGGTGTGTGTGTGTGTGTGTGTGTGTGTGTGTGTGTGTGTGCCATTTCTTCGAAACAATCGGTACAGCGCATGAACGTACATGCCTGCACCCAGGCACCAACGGTAGTGAGCAGTCATCCCTGTCGATCACTGCACAGGCAAGCATGCTTCAAGGCCTGCCCGTTGCCTTTGCCTCCCTTGCCACCTTTACCTCTCTGCGCCGTCGAAACAGTATCGGGCTTCCCCCGGAGTTTTTGTTGCTTGGCCACGACGGGAGGGGGAGGGGCCACCTGCTAACCCACATTATGTGTAAATGATCGACCCACCACCGTGCCTGTGCAGTGTCCATCGATGCAGCTTGCTTGCCGGATGTTGCTGAGATTTCTCAATGAAGTCCGATGCTTACGGCTCGTGTGCTCCTATAGCTTGTCAACATGCTTGACGCGGAGTGGTATTGGGGATGGCCTTTTTTCGCGGTGCTTCCTAATTCGGAAGAACCTCATGCGCGGCAGCCCAGTCGGTTGACAATCCCATGAAAGCTGGGTCTGCTGGGTCTGTGACTGCAGCGCGGGGATGGCTTCCAGCCAAGGCCATGACAGAGGCAGAAGTCCTTTGGTATGTGGAGCAGGTGCACAAGAAGGCTGGGCATGAAGAACTCTGCTTCCTCTTTGTGCGTCTGTGCCGGCATTCTTGTTGAACTTCTGCTTCTATAATGCTCGTCTCTTTGTCTCTAGGTCTCTCTGGGCTTTGACCGGATTCGATCGCTTTTGGGGAAAGTGTTTTCAACGTCAGCTGCAGCTGCATCCCCATTAATTTTCAAGTTTCAAGGTTTCGGCAGGTGAAGACAGAAACCTAGCGAAAGGCTCGGCAAGGTGAGAAGTGCACTAGACCCTGCCAACATTGGCAGTAACACTCCCCCCGCACTCATCCCCGCATGTTCCTTGACCATACTTGCGCACTGGTGCCTGGTGCCAGGGGGGAGGGAGCAAGCAAAGTCCAACTTTTCTCGTTATCCATGCATGATGATTCCGGATCGGGCTTGCCCGATGTAACTAGGTAAACTTTCCATCATTCAGCATTCAATCTCCTTGGCGTCGTCCTCCACAAAAGCACACTTCGTCCACAGCCACGGACTGCCGAGACATCAAGCTGCGAGGGAAATTCGCGTTGGACTCGTGCAGCTCGCAGTGAGAGCTCGCCTCCAGCAATGATGGCTCCGGGTTGGCACGATCGAAGTCGGACTCGCCGTAGAACTGCCCTGATGTCCCAAAGACCTTCTCGAAATACTGCAGCAGCCGCACATTGCCCTTTGTGATGTGTGCGCCGGACACGCGCAGGTCCTGATTCAACATGCAACACTGACGGCCGGAATCGGACAGACACGGTCCATTACACATGCCTCGGCATCGAAGAAAGCACAGACATCCGACCGAGTCTGACAGAGTCTGTGCGCTCTGCAACTTTATCAAAAGATGACGGGTGGCCAGACTTGTGTAAAGAACGTATCCCCTGAGCTTGTTGCGCTCATGCTGTGAATTGAGCATGGACGCCAGATGGGCCAGATGGCCAGTGAGCTAAATGACCAACGCGGCCAACGGAGTTTTAATTACATTGTGTAGACTCTAGACTGGATCGTTTGCTCTGCTTCGCGGCGGGGCGGTGGTCAAATTACATACGGACTTGTCTCTGACACCGCCTCGCTACCGGCATCTATTCTCAGGCAACAGTCGCTCAACGATAGACAGTGTTAACAGGCAGCACATGATGGCGACGTCATGTTTCAACACCTAAAGAGTGCGAGCCATACATGAAAATGCTGCCATCACAGTCTCAGAACTTGCAAAACTTCAGTCCTGCCAAGGCGCATGCCGTCCAAAACGAGCCCTCTTCCTGCAGCACACGGAGCCCCCGTGCCATTGCTGTCCTGGCAGGTGGCCTGCGATGCATTCAGCCGGTGGATGTGCCAGTGCTCCGATAGCGCCTGAGGCGCATCCACACCCAGCTCCCGCCCGGCGAGCTGCTTGAAGGCGTGGATTTTGGAGATGGTCCAATCGAAGTCAAAGTCCGCCTGCTTCAACCTTCCCCGCTGTGCTGATGGTGCTGCAGCAGGTCTTGCAGCTTGCTCGAGTGGGCCTGACTTGAACATGCCACTGAAGCCTGCACGCGACACAGATGACACAGGGTTCTTGGCCGGCGATGCGCCTTCTCGCGAATGTGATGGGGGCGCTGCTTGCGGCTTTGCCACCACTTTCACCACTGCCTGCGTCTCCAGAGCATCTGAAGCAAAAGCTCCAGCTCGATGTCGGAGCTCCTTCATCTCGATCTCTGTCAGAGTCATCCCACGCCTCTTGGACACGAACATGCTACGGCAGATGCCCTGAATGGATTCAATCTCCTGGGCGTCGGCCTCCACAAAACACGCTTCGTCCACAGCCACGGACTGCCGAGACATCCAGCTGCGAAGGAAACTCGCGATGGACTCGTGCAGCTCGCAGTGAGAGCTCGCCTCCAGCAATGATGGCTCCGGGTTGGCACGATCGAAGTCGGACTCGCCGTAGAACTGCCCTGATGTCCCAAAGACCTTCTCGAAGTACTGCAGCAGCCCCAAATTGCCCTTTGTGATGTGTGCGCCGGACACCTTTACCGTAAACTCGAAAAGAAGCTGTTCAGCTGCCCCACGCGCGCAGGTCCTGATTCAACATGCAACACTGACGGCCGGAATCGGACAGACACGGTCCATTACAAATGCCTCGGCATCGAAGAAAGCACAGACATCCGACCGAGTCGGACAGAGTCTGTGCGCTCTGCAACTTTATCAAAAGATGACGGGTGGCCAGACTTGTGTAAAGAACGTATCCTCTGAGCTTGTTGCGCTCATGCTGTGAATTGAGCATGGACGCCAGATGGGCCAGATGGCCAGTGAGCTAAATGACCAACGCGGCCAACGGAGTTTTAATTGCATTGTGTAGACTCTAGACTGGATGGTTTGCTCTGCTTCGCGGCGGGGCGGTGGTCAAATTACATACGGACTTGTCTCTGACACCGCCTCGCTACCGGCATCTATTCTCAGGCAACAGTCGCTCAACGATAGACAGTGTTAACAGGCAGCACATGATGGCGACGTCATGTTTCAACACCTAAAGAGTGCGAGCCATACATGAAAATGCTGCCATCACAGTCTCAGAACTTGCAAAACTTCAGTCCTGCCAAGGCGCATGCCGTCCAAAACGAGCCCTCTTCCTGCAGCACACGGAGCCCCCGTGCCATTGCTGTCCTGGCAGGTGGCCTGCGATGCATTCAGCCGGTGGATGTGCCAGTGCTCCGATAGCGCCTGAGGCGCATCCACACCCAGCTCCCGCCCGGCGAGCTGCTTGAAGGCGTGGATTTTGGAGATGGTCCAATCGAAGTCAAAGTCCGCATGCTTCAACCTTCCCCGCTGTGCTGATGGTGCTGCAGCAGGTCTTGCAGCTTGCTCGAGTGGGCCTGACTTGAACATGCCACTGAAGCCTGCACGCGACACAGATGACACCTGGTTCTTGGTCGGCGATGCGCCTTCTCGCGAATGTGATGGGGGCGCTGCTTGCGGCTTTGCCACCACTTTCACCACTGCCTGCGTCTCCACAGCATCTGAAGCAAAAGCTCCAGCTCGATGTCGGAGCTCCTTCATCTCGATCTCTGTCAGAGTCATCCCACGCCTCTTGGACACGAACATGCTACGGCAGATGCCCTGAATGGATTCAATCTCCTGGGCGTCGGCCTCCACAAAACACGCTTCGTCCACAGGCACGGACTGCCGAGACATCAAGCTGCGAAGGAAACTCGCGTTGGACTCGTGCAGCTCGCAGACAGAGCCATGGGACTCGCCGTAGAAATACTGCAGCAGCCCTTCGTGCTCCAGGAGGTCTTTGCAGGCCCTCACGTTGCCCTTCGCGATGCTGGATGCCTTTGGGCTCCAGAAGAAGTTACAAACCAAGACTTGAAAGCAGTGATCAGAGATCTGGGGCACACGACCAAAAGCAGTCACGAACATGCTGGAATCTGGTCGCTCCGCGACTCTCTTAAACAAACTAGGCATGCAATTTCAGCGTCATGGTGAAGTCAAGCAGGCGATAAGACTGGCTGGTGACTTGTTATCCTGAGTTCTGTATTGTTATGCTTCGTAAGTGCCAGATGTCGCGAGCTGGCCAGTGAGCAATACGACGAATGCGGCAAACAAAGACTAACATGTCCTGCACTGCTGCAATGTGTTCTTCTGCTCTGTCAAAGCTTTCGTTTTACTTTGAAAGTGAATGCACTCTTGAGCTGTGGTTGGTCGGAAGGATCACGTGGTGATCTAGATAATAAACTATGCAGAGCATGCAACTGCCCTACGCTCCAAACAGCTCTCACATCCAGCCAGAAACACGCTTTATGTATCGCTAAAGTCTTAATTGTCTCTTCGGAGCATGTGCATGGCACCCCAGCCCTTGATTCAATTTGAACCCCCGCTCGTTCGGTGATCGCCTTGCGAAACCAACAGCGTCGACAGACAAAACTGCGTGGTAACACATGGTGGCGTCTTCCTGCTTCTGCTGCCGTAAAAAAGATTTCTCGTGAGTGCGAGCCATGCGCGGGCTCACATCAGAAACACTTTCCAGAGCCTCTTGAAGGGCCTTGTAAACAAGGTTTGTATACGAACTCGAGAGCTCATGGACCAAAGGACGACCGAGATGTCGAAAGACAGAGGAAATACTGGAATGAGCAATGACACCAAAAACCCTCCATACAGAATCAGTCTCCTCTTGTTTCCTTTCGCGATACAGATTTGTGTTCAAACTTCGCGGGCTCACATACGTGTGAAATCTGGGAGCGACGGTGTAGAGGCTGAGAGTTGGGTTAGGATCTTCTTGCACAGGGCTCTTCGAAAATATAGGTCTGTTAAGCTGTTTTTTATGCCAATTTCGACAGGTACCCAAATCCTGTGGTGGGACGCCTGATAAACTCTGATAAAGCCCTGAAATCCAGCCTCAGTCGTCATGCGGCTGGCTTTGCTGGCATTGGCAGCTCTGCAGCACCGTGCTGACGAGATTGCACAGTAGCTGCCACCTCAAGTCATAAACAAAGAGCTCTCCGGATCGCTTGGCAGGTCAAGCCTGAGGCTTCGGCAGGGTCGGCTGAGACTGGGCTTCAGGCACAGCCGCAGCAGGAGGCGAGGGAGGTTCTGGCTTCATCATGCTGATTTGACAGAGAAACAGTTCTTGCTTGCGTGTTCGCGTGCTTGCTTTCGGTTCGACCGTCTCTTTGCTTTCGCTTGGGCAAGAAATCGCAGGTGAAGAGTTGAAGGGCCACGTCTATAACCCAGGGCAAGGGCTGTGAATATGGTGCTCAGAACCTCGAGCACCTCCACAAGCGTGGCCAAAAGGAACAGTGACAGCTTTTCTCGCACAACTCCAATCACAAGTCCATCCCCTGCCTGAACTTGGGCGCCACGCACTTCTCAACTTCTCAAGGCGTGGTCAGGTAAAACTGCGAAGATGATGAGGCCCGGCCCGGAAGGCTCAGGGAACTGTGCTGCAGGAGGTCGGCAGGGGGACTCCGGGCCTCTGGCGCAAGGCCGAAGACCAGGCCACAAAGACTCCACGATCGACGACTCCGGGGGCCATCCGCCTCATTGCTGATGCCGGTGTCCGTGTTCACCTCTGGGATGACATCCACCCAGGCACCGGCTTGGCTTTGAACCGGCTTGGCAAGTGTTACGCAATCGGCCTTCTCTGAAGACCAGACCACACATAAAACGTGGGGCCGGCGTCTTGCATGGTCTTGCGGTTCCGGGCACCGCCCTTTTGTGGTGGCCGAGGTGCGCCTCCGTGTGGTCCAGCAGCGGCTTCAGCAGCGACGCATCGCAGGCAACCAGTGCCAAACGACTTCGGTGCAGATCCAGACAGACGAGCCGCTCTTGCATGGAAAAGCATCCGATCACACCGAAGTCCTTGTATGACCACCACGCAGACCGTCACGGAGGCCACTCGCAAGAGCGCCAATCGCCGAGTTGCGTCGGCGACGACATCGGCCTGCTGAGCTGCCGTAGTCACTATTGCTTCTGGTGTCAGTTTCAACTCACAGGAAACCTTGAGTTTGTCTGGGCCTCCAGTTCGCCACCGAAGGCGATGTCCGGGGAAGGCAGACCTGCACCCAGCCAGGTTTGTCCCTTCGCGTCCGGGAGCGTCGACAGCCTCTTGGGCAGGGGCCGCACAGCGCCAGCAGCACCGCGTTCTTCGGCTTCGGGAGATCGCAGAGGAGGTCCTCCGCAGCAGAAAGGGCCCCCAAAAAAGCACGTAAGCAAAAATTAGGATAGGCATATCCCACTATAAACCCTGAAGCCCCATAGGGTAGGGATGCACCTGTAAAATGCTTATGATACTGCTTCTGTGCTTGCACCACGGAGCGAAGAGAGAAACCGACGGATGGATGTGCCCTTCGAGGTCCTCGGAGGCGGAGCTGGAGCTGAGCCTTTGCTGAGGACCACAGTGTACTGGGGCTCCCCGTTGGCTCCCACAAGGAAGCAGGCTCGGCGCACACAGAGCAAACAGAGAAGCACCGGGCAGCCGGCACGACGAGGCTCTGCGTCATGTGCGAAGCCAACTCCAGGTCGACCGCATTGGTCAGCCCTGCGTGTGTGCAATGGGATCCACGTGACAAGAGCGCACAGCCGAGGCATGGCCTGCGCAGTCCAGGGCCAGTTGGCACACCAGCTCCATGGCCTGCTAGGCAGCGGTCCGTACTCCACCAGACAGCGGCCCTGCATTCCTTGCGAAACTTATACAGTCAACTTACCATCCTGCCTTTTCAAGCAAGACTGGGCAGCAATGAATTCGCGCTGCGGATTTCGGAGTGGCCTGTGGCGGCGTGACGGCATCCATTCCTCCAGGCAGATCCAGAGTTTCCCGGACCTGCACGTCGCTACATATTACTGCCAAAGATAGTTAAAGACAGTCAGACGCACCCACACTGCCCTCCTCTCCCTCTCCCTCTGACTCTGTCTGCATCCACCGTCACCGGGCGCATGGCATGGCAGCCATGAGGATCGACGACAGGATGATGAAGACCTCTCTTCAAACAGGGTCGAGGGCAGGCTGCTCAACAGAGCGGCAGTAAGCGATAGTAAGCGGCTCGCCGAACGGCTGAACACAATGAAGGGCCACGACTGTCTTTGACTTTCTAGGCTTCCCACCCTCAAACGCGAAGTTCTTCTTCCTCCGTAAATTGCCCGGAGGGGCAGCAGCAAGACACTGCTTCCCACATGGCCTTGGTGATCCGGAAACTTTGCACTTCGACAGCAGGGTTCAGTAGCATAGCTGAGGACACCGGCATGCGCGAAACCAAGGACCGTTCTCTTCTGCCACCTGGCCTGCAAAGCTGCCGGCTGGAGCCATGAGGCGAAAGTCAAACAGGTCTGCGATTGCGGTGAAGTGCAGCATCAGTGTTACTGCCAATGTTGGCAGGGTCTAGTGCACTTCTCACCTTGCCGAGCCTTTCGCTAGGTTTCTGTCTTCACCTGCCGAAACCTTGAAACTTGAAAATTAATGGGGATGCAGCTGCAGCTGACGTTGAAAACACTTTCCCCAAAAGCGATCGAATCCGGTCAAAGCCCAGAGAGACCTAGAGACAAAGAGACGAGCATTATAGAAGCAGAAGTTCAACAAGAATGCCGGCACAGACGCACAAAGAGGAAGCAGAGTTCTTCATGCCCAGCCTTCTTGTGCACCTGCTCCACATACCAAAGGACTTCTGCCTCTGTCAGGGCCTTGGCTGGAAGCCATCCCCGCGCTGCAGTCACAGACCCAGCAGACCCAGCTTTCATGCGATTGTCAACCGACTGGGCTGCCGCGCATGAGGTTCTTCCCAATTAGGAAGCACCGCGAAAAAAGGCCATCCCCAATACCACTCCGCGTCAAGCATGTTGACAAGCTATAGGAGCACACGAGCCGTAAGCATCGGACTTCATTGAGAAATCTCAGCAACATCCGGCAAGCAAGCTGCATCGATGGACACTGCACAGGCACGGTGGTGGGTCGATCATTTACACATAATGTGGGTTAGCAGGTGGCCCCTCCCCCTCCCGTCGTGGCCAAGCAACAAAAACTCGGGGGAAGCCCGATACTGTTTCGACGGCGCAGAGAGGTAAAGGTGGCAAGGGAGGCAAAGGCAACGGGCAGGCCTTGAAGCATGCTTGCCTGTGCAGTGATCGACAGGGATGACTGCTCACTACCGTTGGTGCCTGGGTGCAGGCATGTACGTTCATGCGCTGTACCGATTGTTTCGAAGAAATGGCACACACACACACACACACACACACACACACATGCCTGAGTTGCACCCCCCCCCGCACTCATCCCCGCATGTTCCTTGACCATACTTGCGCACTGGTGCCTGGTGCCAGGGGGGAGGGAGCAAGCAAAGTCCAACTTTTCTCGTTATCCATGCATGATGATTCCGGATCGGGCTTGCCCGATGTAACTAGGTAAACTTTCCATCATTCAGCATTCAATCTCCTTGGCGTCGTCCTCCACAAAAGCACACTTCGTCCACAGCCACGGACTGCCGAGACATCAAGCTGCGAGGGAAACTCGCGTTGGACTCGTGCAGCTCGCAGTGAGAGCTCGCCTCCAGCAATGATGGCTCCGGGTTGGCACGATCGAAGTCGGACTCGCCGTAGAACTGCCCTGATGACCCAAAGACCTTCTCGAAATACTGCAACACCGCACATTGCCCTTTGTGATGTGTGCGCCGGACACGCGCAGGTCCTGATTCAACATGCAACACTGACGGCCGGAATCGGACAGACACGGTCCATTACAAATGCCTCGGCATCGAAGAAAGCACAGACATCCGACCGAGTCTGACAGAGTCTGTGCGCTCTGCAACTTCATCAAAAGATGATGGGTGGCCAGACTTGCGTAAAGAACGTATCCTCTGAGCTTGTTGCGCCCATGCTGTGAATTGAGCATGGACGCCAGATGGGCCAGATGGCCAGTGAGCTAAATGACCAACGCGGCCAACGGAGTTTTAATTACATTGTGCAGACTCTATAGACTGGATCGTTTGCTCTGCTTCGCGGCGGGGCGGCGGTCAAATTACATACGGACTTGTCTCTGACACCGCCTCGCTGCCGGCATCTATTCTCAGGCAACAGTCGCTCAACGATAGACAGTGTTAACAGGCAGCACATGATGGCGACGTCATGTTTCAACACCTAAAGAGTGCGAGCCATACATGAAAATGCTGCCATCACAGTCTCAGAACTTGCAAAACTTCAGTCCTGCCAAGGCGCATGCCGTCCAAAACGAGCCCTCTTCCTGCAGCACACGGAGCCCCCGTGCCATTGCTGTCCTGGCAGGTGGCCTGCGATGCATTCAGCCGGTGGATGTGCCAGTGCTCCGATAGCGCCTGCGGCGCATCCACACCCAGCTCCCGCCCGGCGAGCTGCTTGAAGGCGAGGATTTTGGAGATGGTCCAATCGAAGTCAAAGTCCGCATGCTTCAACCTTCCCCGCTGTGCTGATGGTGCTGCAGCAGGTCTTGCAGCTTGCTCGAGTGGGCCTGACTTGAACATGCCACTGAAGCCTGCACGCGACACAAATGATACAGGGTTCTTGGCCGGCGATGAGCCTTCTGGCGAATGTGGTGGCGGCGCTAATTGCGGCTTTGCCACCACTTTCACCACTGCCTGTTTCTCCACAGCATCTGAAGCAAAAGCGCCAGCTCGATGTCGGAGCTCCTTCATCTCGATCTCTGTCAGAGTCATCCCACGCCTCTTGGACACGAACATGCTACGGCAGATGCCCTGAATGGATTCAATCTCCTGGGCGTCGTCCTCCACAAAACACGCTTCGTCCACAGCCACGGACTGCCGAGACATCAAGCTGCGAAGGAAACTCGCGATGGACTCGTGCAGCTCGCAGTGAGAGCTCGCCTCCAGCAATGATGGCTCCGGGTTGGCACGATCGAAGTCGGACTCGCCGTAGAACTGCCCTGATGACCCACAGACCTTCTCGAAGTACTGCAGCAGCCCCACAGTGCCCTTTGTGATGTGTGCGCCGGACACCTTTACTGTAAACTCGAAAAGAAGCTGTTCAGCTGCCCCACACGCGCAGGTCCTGATTCAACATGCAACACTGACGGCCGGAATCGGACAGACACGGTCCGTTACAAATGCCTCGGCATCGAAGAAAGCACAGACATCCGACCGAGTCTGACAGAGTCTGTGCGCTCTGCAACTTTATCAAACGATGACGGGTGGCCAGACTTGCGTAAAGAACGTATCCTCTGAGCTTGTTGCGCTCATGCTGTGAATTGAGCATGGACGCCAGATGGGCCAGATGGCCAGTGAGCTAAATGACCAACGCGGCCAACGGAGTTTTAATTACATTGTGCAGACTCTATAGACTGGATCGTTTGCTCTGCTTCGCGGCGGGGCGGCGGTCAAATTACATACGGACTTGTCTCTGACACCGCCTCGCTGCCGGCATCTATTCTCAGGCAACAGTCGCTCAACGATAGACAGTGTTAACAGGCAGCACATGATGGCGACGTCATGCTTCAACACCTAAAGAGTGCGAGCCATACATGAAAATGCTGCCATCACAGTCTCAGAACTTGCAAAACTTCAGTCCTGCCAAGGCGCATGCCGTCCAAAACGAGCCCTCTTCCTGCAGCACACGGAGCCCCCGTGCCATTGCTGTCCTGGCAGGTGGCCTGCGATGCATTCAGCCGGTGGATGTGCCAGTGCTCCGATAGCGCCTGCGGCGCATCCACACCCAGCTCCCGCCCGGCGAGCTGCTTGAAGGCGAGGATTTTGGAGATGGTCCAATCGAAGTCAAAGTCCGCATGCTTCAACCTTCCCCGCTGTGCTGATGGTGCTGCAGCAGGTCTTGCAGCTTGCTCGAGTGGGCCTGACTTGAACATGCCACTGAAGCCTGCACGCGACACAAATGATACAGGGTTCTTGGCCGGCGATGAGCCTTCTGGCGAATGTGGTGGCGGCGCTAATTGCGGCTTTGCCACCACTTTCACCACTGCCTGTGTCTCCACAGCATCTGAAGCAAAAGCGCCAGCTCGATGTCGGAGCTCCTTCATCTCGATCTCTGTCAGAGTCATCCCACGCCTCTTGGACACGAACATGCTACGGCAGATGCCCTGAATGGATTCAATCTCCTGGGCGTCGGCCTCCACAAAACACGCTTCGTCCACAGCCACGGACTGCCGAGACATCAAGCTGCGAAGGAAACTCGCGATGGACTCGTGCAGCTCGCAGTGAGAGCTCGCCTCCAGCAATGATGGCTCCGGGTTGGCACGATCGAAGTCGGACTCGCCGTAGAACTGCCCTGATGTCCCACAGACCTTCTCGAAGTACTGCAGCAGCCCCACAGTCCCCTTTGTGATGTGTGCGCCGGACACCTTTACCGTAAACTCGAAAAGAAGCTGTTCAGCTGCCCCACCCGCGCAGGTCCTGATTCAACATGCAACACTGACGGCCGGAATCGGACAGACACGGTCCGTTACAAATGCCTCGGCATCGAAGAAAGCACAGACATCCGACCGAGTCTGACAGAGTCTGTGCGCTCTGCAACTTTATCAAAAGATGACGGGTGGCCAGACTTGTGTAAAGAACGTATCCTCTGAGCTTGTTGCGCTCATGCTGTGAATTGAGCATGGACGCCAGATGGGCCAGATGGCCAGTGAGCTAAATGACCAACGGCCAACGGAGGTTTAATTACATTGTGTAGACTCTAGACTGGATCGTTTGCTCTGCTTCGCGGCGGGGCGGTGGTCAAATTACATACGGACTTGTCTCTGACACCGCCTCGCTGCCGACATCTATTCTCAGGCAACAGTCGCTCAACGATAGACAGTGTTAACAGGCAGCACATGATGGCGACGTCATGTTTCAACACCTAAAGAGTGCGAGCCATACATGAGGATGCTGCCATCACAGTCTCAGAACTTGCAAAACTTCAGTCCTGCCAAGGCGCATGCCGTCCAAAACGAGCCCTCTTCCTGCAGCACACGGAGCCCCAGTGCCATTGCTGTCCTGGCAGGTGGCCTGCGATGCATTCAGCCGGTGGATGTGCCAGTGCTCCGATAGCGCCTGCGGCGCATCCACACCCAGCTCCCGCCCGGCGAGCTGCTTGAAGGCGAGGATTTTGGAGATGGTCCAATCGAAGTCAAAGTCCGCATGCTTCAACCTTCCCCGCTGTGCTGATGGTGCTGCAGCAGGTCTTGCAGCTTGCTCGAGTGGGCCTGACTTGAACATGCCACTGAAGCCTGCACGCGACACAAATGATACAGGGTTCTTGGCCGGCGATGAGCCTTCTGGCGAATGTGGTGGCGGCGCTAATTGCGGCTTTGCCACCACTTTCACCACTGCCTGTGTCTCCACAGCATCTGAAGCAAAAGCGCCAGCTCGATGTCGGAGCTCCTTCATCTCGATCTCTGTCAGAGTCATCCCACGCCTCTTGGACACGAACATGCTACGGCAGATGCCCTGAATGGATTCAATCTCCTGGGCGTCGGCCTCCACAAAACACGCTTCGTCCACAGCCACGGACTGCCGAGACATCAAGCTGCGAAGGAAACTCGCGATGGACTCGTGCAGCTCCCAGACAGAGCCATGGGACTCGCCGTAGAAATACTGCAGCAGCCCTTGGTGCTCCAGGAGGTCTTTGCAGGCCCTCACGTTGCCCTTCGCGATGCTAGATGCCTTTGGGCTCCCGAAGAAGCTACAAACCAAGACTTGAAAGCAGTGATCAGAGATCTGGGGCACACGACCAAAAGCAGTCCCGAACATGCTGGAATCTGGTCGCTCCGCGACTCTCTTAAACAAACTAGGCATGCAATTTCAGCGTCATGGTGAAGTCAAGCAGGCGATAAGACTGGCATAGTGACTTGTTATCCTGAGTTCTGTATTGTTATGCTTCGTAAGTGCCAGATGTCGCCAGCTGGCGAGTGAGCAATACGACGAATGAGGCAAACAAAGACTAACATGTCCTGCACTGCTGCAATGTGTTCTTCTGCTCTGTCAAAGCTTTCGTTTTACTCTGAAAGTGAATGCACTTTTGAGCTGTGGTTGGTCGGAAGGATCACTTGGTGATCTAGATAATAAACTATGCAAAGCATGCAACTGCCCTACGCTCCAAACAGCTCTCACATCCAGCCAGAAACAAGCTTTATGTATCGCTAAAGTCTTAATTGTCTCTTCGGAGCATGTGCATGGCACCCCAGCCCTTGATTCAATTTGAACCCCCGCTCGTTCGGTGATCGCCTTGCGAAACCAAACAGCGTCGACAGACAAAACTGCGTGGCAACACATGGTGGCGTCTTCCTGCTTCTGCTGCCGTAAAACAGACTTCTCGTGAATGCGAGCCATGCGCGGGCTCACATCATTTTCCAGAGCCTCTTGAAGGGCCTTGTAAACAAGGTTTGTATACGAATTCGAGAGCTCATGGACCAAAGGACGACCGAGATGTCGAAAGACAGAAGAAGTGCTGGAATGAGCAATGACAACAAAAACCCTCCATACAGAATCAGTCTCCTCTTGTTTCCTTTCGCGATAGAGATTTGTGTTCAAGAACAGAGAATCCAAACTTCGCGGGCTCACATACGTGTGAAATCTGGGAGCGACGGTGTAGAGGCTCAGAGTTGGGTTAGGATCTTCTTGCACAGGACTCTTCGAAAATATGGGTCTGTTAAGCTGTCTCCATGCCAATTTCGACATGTACCCAAATCCTGTGGTGGGACGCCTCACATGGCATCAGTTAAACTTCTCCACTCTTGTCTGATAAACTCTGATAAAGCCCTGAAATCCCGCCTCAGTCGTCATGCGGCTGGCTTTGCTGGCATTGGCAGCTCTGCAGCACCGCGCTGACGACGTTGCACAGTAGCTGCCACCTCAAGTCATAAACAAAGAGCTCTCCGGATCGCTTGGCAGGTCAAGCCTGAGGCCTGAGGCTTCGGCAGGGTCGGATGAGACTGGGCTTCAGGCGCAGCCGCAGCAGGAGGCGAGGGAGGTTCTGGCTTCATCATGCTGATTTGACAGAGAAACAGTTCTTGCTTGCGTGTTTGCGTGCTTGCTTTCGGTTCGACCGTCTCTTTGCTTTCGCTTGGGCAAGAAATCGCAGGTGAAGAGTTGAAGGGCCACGTCTATAACCCAGGGCAAGGGCTGTGAATATGGTGCTCAGAACCTCGAGCACCTCCACAAGCGTGGCCAAAAGGAACAGTGACAGCTTTTCTCGCACAACTCCAATCACAAGTCCATCCCCTGCCTGAACTTGGGCGCCACGCACTCCTCAACTTCTCAAGGCGTGGTAAGGTCAAACTGTGAAGATAATGAGGCCCGGCCCGGAAGGCTCAGGGAACTGTGCTGCAGGAGGTCGGCAGGGATGTTTGGCAGGATGGGGGGACTCCAGGCCTCTGGCGCAAGGCCGAAGACCAGGCCACAAAGACCCCTGTCATAGCCAGCTGCTTCAGCCACGGGGGCGTCGATAACTCCGGGGGCCATCCGCCTCATTGCTGATGCCGGTGTCCGTGTTCACCTCTGGGATGACATCCACCCAGGCACCGGCTTGGCTTTGAACCGGCTTGGCAAGTGTTACGCAATCGGCCTTCTCTGAAGACCAGACCATACATAAAACGTGGGGCCAGCGTCTTGCATGGTCTTGCGGTTCCGGGCGCCGTCCTTTTGTGGTGGCCGAGGTGCGCCTCCGTGTGGTGCAGCGGCGGCTTCAGCAGCGACGCATCGCAGGCAGCCAGTGCCAAACCACTTCGGTGCAGATCCAGACCGACGAGCCGCTCTTGCATGGAAAAGCATCCGATCACACCGAAGTCCTTGCATGACCACCACGCAGACCGTCACGGAGGCCACTCGCAAGCGTCGGCGACGACATCGGCCTGCTGAGCTGCCGTAGCTCACTATGGCTGCTGATGTCAGTTTCAACTCACAGGAAACCTTGAGTTTGTCTGGGCCTCCAGTTCGCCACCGAATGCGATGTCCGGGGAAGGCAGACCTGCACCCAGCCAGGTTTGTCCCTTCGCGTCCGGGAGCGTCGACAGCCTCTTGGGCAGGGGCCGCACAGCGCCAGCAGCACCGCGTTCTTCGGCTTCGGGAGATCGCGGGGGAGGTCCTCCGCAGCAGAAAGGGCCCCCAAAAAAGCACGTAAGCAACAATTAGGATAGGCATATCCCACTATAAACCCTGAAGCCCCATAGGGTAGGGATGCACCTGTAAAATGCAAAATGCTTAAATGCTTATGATACTGCTTCTGTGCCTTGCTTTTGGGGGGTCCCAGGGGACGACCACGGAGCGAAGAGAGAAACCGACGGATGGATGTGCCCTTCGGGGTCCTCGGAGGCGGAGCTGGAGCTGAGCCTTTGCTGAGGACCACAGTCCACTGGGGGTCCCCGTTGGCTCCCACAAGGAAGCAGGCTCGGCGCACACAGAGCAAACAGAGAAGCACCGGGCAGCCGGCACGACGAGGCTCTGCGTCATGTGCGAAGCCAACTCCAGGTCGACCGCATTGCTCAGCCCTGCGTGTGTGCGATGGGATCCACGTGACAAGAGCGCACAGCCGAGGCATGGCCTGCGCAGTCCAGGGCCAGTTGGCACACCAGCTCCATGGCCTGCTAGGCAGCGGTCCGTACTCCACCAGACAGCGGCCCTGCATTCCTTGCGAAACTTATACAGTCAACTTACCATCCTGCCTTTTCAAGCAAGACTGGGCAGCAATGAATTCGCGCTGCGGATTTCGGAGTGGCCTGTGGCGGCGTGACGGCATCCATTCCTCCAGGCAGATCCAGAGTTTCCCGGACCTGCACGTCGCTACATATTACTGCCAAAGATGGTTAAAGACAGTCAGACGCACCCACACTGCCCTCCTCTCCCTCTCCCTCTGACTCTGTCTGCATCCACCGTCACCGGGAGCATGGCATCGCAGCCATGAGGATCGACGACAGGATGATGAAGACCTCTCTTCAAACAGGGTCGAGGGCAGGCTGCTCAACAGAGCGGCAGTAAGCGATAGTAAGCGATAGTAAGCGGCTCGCCGAACGGCTGAACACAATGACGGGCCACGACTGTCTTTGACTTTCTAGGCTTCCCACCCTCAAACGCGAAGTTCGGAGGGGCAGCAGCAAGATACTGCTTCCCACATGGCCTTGGTGATCCGGAAACTTTGCACTTCGACAGCAGGGTTCAGTAGCATAGCTGAGGACACCGGCATGCGCGAAACCAAGGACCGTTCTCTTCTGCCACCTGGCCTGCAAAGCTGCCGGCTGGAGCCATGAGGCGAAAGTCAAACAGGTCTGCGATTGCGGTGAAGTGCAGCATCAGTGTTACTGCCAATGTTGGCAGGGTCTAGTGCACTTCTCACCTTGCCGAGCCTTTCGCTAGGTTTCTGTCTTCACCTGCCGAAACCTTGAAACTTGAAAATTAATGGGGATGCAGCTGCAGCTGACGTTGAAAACACTTTCCCCAAAAGCGATCGAATCCGGTCAAAGCCCAGAGAGACCTAGAGACAAAGAGACGAGCATTATAGAAGCAGAAGTTCAACAAGAATGCCGGCACAGACGCACAAAGAGGAAGCAGAGTTCTTCATGCCCAGCCTTCTTGTGCACCTGCTCCACATACCAAAGGACTTCTGCCTCTGTCAGGGCCTTGGCTGGAAGCCATCCCCGCGCTGCAGTCACAGACCCAGCAGACCCAGCTTTCATGCGATTGTCAACCGACTGGGCTGCCGCGCATGAGGTTCTTCCCAATTAGGAAGCATCGCAAAAAAAGGCCATCCGAAATACCACTCCGCGTCAAGCATGTTGACAAGCTATAGGAGCACACGAGCCGTACGCATCGGACTTCATTGAGAAATCTCAGCAACATCCGGCAAGCAAGCTGCATCGATGGACACTGCGCAGGCACGGTGGTGGGTCGATCATTTACACATAATGTGGCTTAGCAGGTGGCCCCTCCCCCTCCCGTCGTGGCCAAGCAACAAAACTCCGGGGAAGCCCGATACTGTTTCGACGGCGCGGAGGTAAAGGTGGCAAGGGAGAAGGGAGGCAAAGGCAATGGGCAGGCCTTGAAGCATGCTTGCCTGTGCAGTGATCGACAGCTTGCCTCCCCTCCTTGCACCCCCGTGCAACTAGAATCCAATAAACAACCAGAGCAGACCTCATCCCGAGAGCCTTGCGCAATGGCGGGATCCAGTTTCTGCTTCCACACCCGCTGTACTGAACAGAGGATCGCCATGGTGCCAAGGTCAATCTAAGCATGCTTTGCGTGACGGCTCAACAGAGACCACCTCTGTGGCTGCCTCTGTGACTATACAGATTGCTGGTCTCGCAAAATCAAAAGTGTCATGCATGTGATTGCGATGGCATCCAGGTCTTCAATATGACAAAGAGGATTGAGAAGGCTGTGCACAACGGCGAATGCCTTCTAACTCATCAAAACTGAAAGCCGAGCATTGTGACTGTACAAGTTGTCGAGCTCGCAAAAGCACGAATCATGCAACGACCGATAAAGACTCTGATTCTGGCTGCCCCAACTTGACTTCTCTTCTCACTTCTTCACCGTTGGCAACTTCGCTTTGCCCTGCAAGAGCGTGGGAAGCCCTGCCTCGAGGTCACCCAGGGCGGACGCAGGGGCGCCCTCGTAGACAACACCGGGCTCCAAGTTGCTGCCCTTCCAGCTGAGACTCCCTGGACGCAGCACCGCGCCATCTCCCGCATGGCACATAGCCACACTGGCACCGGACATGATGGTCACTCGGTGCCCCACCGAGTAGTGGGTGAATTTCAGCCGGAAGTCCTCGAAGGAGTGACATCTCACCTGTCCATCATAGTCCACTGTGACGTCATCGCCGATGTCCGTGAAGGGAGCGTCCACCAGCACCAGCTCGTTCATGCAGAAGAACCGCTTGCCCACGCGAGCGCCAAGCAGTCTCAGGACGGGAGCTTGCCAGCGGCTTCCCGCTGTCTGAAATGGCAGTTTGAAGACTCGCTGCTGGGCGGTGAGCGCGGTGAACCAGCGCGTGACTGTGGTGGAGTAGTAGGCGTTGCTGTGGGGGGTTGATCCATTGAAGAGCAGATTGCCCAGCACCACCGAGAAGAGGTACCAGGAGACCAAGGCGAAGGCGACGTAGACGAGGAGCAGCGCAAAGACTTCCCAAGTTGCTGTGATCATCGGGCAGAGGAGGCGGCTCGTCAGCATGGCAAGAGCCGTGACGGTGCCCTGCACGCCGCGGTAGAGGAAGACGTCCAAGATGCTGGTGCTGAAGTGGTGCCAGAAACGCGCCAGGCAGCTGGCCGCTTCGGGGCCCCGGTTCACCTTGCCTGCCAGGTTGCGCCCAACAGACACTTAAGTTGAGGAACTCTCTACAAGCAACGGCCATAGCTTCGTGCACTCAGGCCTGCAGCCTGACTGCTCAAGCGACGGAACTTCATGGCAGGGTTGCCGAAGTAGCCTTGGAGCCAGAAGACACAAGGCACACTGCCGATCTGATTAAATCCCCTCTTGCAAGAAGCCGGCGACGCACGTTCGAGGCAAGCTGCTCATGTTGGGTTCCGTGGGTCTCTTCGGCAGCCAGGTGCCCACTCCGCAGAAGCTACCCTCGGGCAGACCCTCCGGCAGGTGGTTGTGATTTCCCAGGAAGGTGTGATCGCCTCAGACCCCAGGAATTTGACGAGCAAAGCCCAGTTCTGTAGGCGCAGATACAGTGCCCCTGCGGCCGGGCGGCTCATTTCGGTGATGCAAGGCACGTTGAACTTCCCCTGGTCGACGTCCACGCTGGTCAAGATGTTGCCGGTGGCAAAGAAGCATCCCTTGCCCACCACCAGCGTCTCCGGGAGCGTCACCTGGCAGGGAAGCAAAGGGGAGTGGCACGGACATCTGCACACGAAGCACGGCATCTGATCCGCGGTCCCGGCCTGCAAGCCCATGGCGCATCCGTGCCCAAAGGTAGCACCACACAACCGGATGAAGGCGGGTACGATGGAGGCATCGGCGAGCATCTCTGACGCCTGCAACACCATAGACATCTTCAAGGCCGCGATCTGCGCTCGGATGCTCAGCAGGGAATAGGTGCAAGGCGGCCTCACTTTCGGCAGAAACCGGCAGAGGACGGCCGTTCCGCCAAGCTGGAGCACCTCAGACATAGGCCCACGGCGTGCATCAGCCCACGCTGCCTAATGCTACAGGCATTGAAGTTAAGATGAAGTTAAAACTTGACCGTCCTAAGCATGCTCCACATCACCGATCATGGACAAGACAGCTCAACACATTTAGTCTAAGCAGCAAGTGAAATTCGAGGTCCTGCTGTCGACTGAGTTCCACGCCGCGTTCAGCATGGAAGCACCGAAGGCAATGAGCGGGATCCATTCCAGCCGGTCCATCAGCATGGTGGGCAGTACGTCCACGTGCTCCGGGTACATGAACTCTTCCCTCACAACTTCTTGATGATCCCAGGGATACGAGCTGAGCAACTGGAAGGCAACGACGCCCAGGAGCGGCATCAACGCTTTGGGAAGTAGCAGCATCCAGTAGGCCGTAGCAATGAAGGCCGCACGTCTCCGAAAGCTTCGAACTTCCCCAGAGCCAGGCAACCTGCTGAGATCTTTAGGCCCCACCACTTGAGCAGGAACGCCGCACACGCGCCCATCCACCACCATGCCAGAAGGGACGGCTGACAACGGTTCCACGTAGCCCGCTGCTGCAATCTCACATCCCGGCTCCAACGTGCAGTTGGGGCCCACATAGGCGCCTGCACCAACTTTCACAGGTTTCAGGACCATGCGGCGGCTGCCGTAGTTCACAGCAGTCAAGTGTCGAGGGCCATGGACGGTCGCCAAGTCACCAACTGAAACCAGGTCGTACGCCACAACACGAGCAGTGACAACGGAGGTCAATCTGACATCTGCGCCAAGGGCCCTCAAAGCAAGGTTGCGGAGGAACAAGAACGCGATGCTGCTTCCCTGATGTGCGTTTTGTCCGACGATGGTGCCTTTGGCCATGTGCTCTACCAGCCAGTGACGCAGATAGAAGAAGCTGTAGATGTCATGATCGCCTTCCTTGTAGCGACCGATCAGCGACCACTTCACAATCACCAAGATGAAGACTCGAACGAACTGCTCCAACGTCAGGAGAGCTACGACCAAGAGGAAGGTTTGCCAGAGAGGTAGCATGAACGCCAGAGGCAGCAGCACTCTTTCTGCCAACAACAGGCGAGATGCAACAAAGATTGGCTGCCCCAAAATCGCAAAGCCCTGCACCGCAGCACATAGCACGGGACGGCTCTGATCTCCGAAGCTCTCCGTTTCCTCTTTCTGGCTCTGTCCCAGGATGTAGGGAGCCAAAGACGAAGCCAAAGAGAGCATGGAGGACGAGCGAAGAGCTCGTGAACGAAGGCTCTCTGCAGTTCCCGCAGGCGTGAACTTGGGAATCGATGGAACAACTGTGAAGCCGCCCTCCGCTGCTAGCTGCAAGATCTTGCACTGACCGGCACCACGACGTGGGATCTTGTCATGCTCGCAGATCAGCAGCTCAGCGCGGGCCTGCTGCACCTGCTCAACATCGTGGGTCACCAGCGTCGCGCCTTGGGCCAGGATGCTCCAGGTGCTCAAGACGTTGCCCGCAGTACCGACCTGTGTCAGGATGGACATCCGCTCGCCTTGCGTGAGGGGGCACCAGGCGGAGAGAGCTTGCAGCACAGTGCGGTGCGACGCAGGGACTGCGCACTGCACACCTCCACGCACTTCCAGGGCAACGCAACAGACGTCGTCACCCTGCATCGCCTTTCTAGCCTTGGGAGGCTGCGACAGCAGGGAGTTCACCGCGCTCATGTCGAGAAGGCTGCTCGTTTGAGCGGAGGAACCGTCGCGAAGCTCGGACAGCTGATCCCAGCTGCTGTCGTCGGAGCTGGCCAGGATGAAATCCGGCTTCAGCAGCTTGATCTGCTCCGGAAAGTCCGAACCAAGAAAGCTGAAGGCGCACCCTTCGCGGAGGACCCCCAACGTGGCACCCAGCCTATCCATGGATTCCAGGCAGATTGCCACGACGCTTCCCCTGGACGGCTTGGCTTGATGCAGCAGTCGCTGATAGGCCATCATCTGCCGATGCAGCTGCAAATAGCTCAAAGACGCATGGCTCCCCTCGAGGCAGACAGCGTGGGGGTGCTCCTTCACGGCCTCAAGGAAGGAATCCAGCAGGTCCGGTTCCAGATTCACGTCGTCCTCCGAGTCTGAGTCTGCAGACTGCTCGGCAAGAGCGGAGGCCAGTGATCGCACCGTGGGGCGCTCAAAGAGCATCTGCAGGTCGATCCTCTGCAGCCTCGGCTTGGACCGCATCTGAGAGATCAGTCGTCCGAAGCCTCCGGAGTCAACGCCGAGATCCTCCATGAAGTGCGAGTCCCGGTTCCACTCCGCGACAGTGAGCTGCGGTGCCAGGCAGGCCGCGATTTCAAGCTCGAGGTCCGACACCCCGGTCTTCTCGAAGGCCTCCCAGCCATCTTTCTTCGCCTCTACGTCCACCTCCTCGTCCAGAGGGACCACGTTCCGCAAGAGCTTTCCGGAAGCGTTGAACTTCCAGGCGTCGTTCTCCACGATCTTCACCTGGCTGAGGACGTAGCCACGCCCCAGCGACGCGGCCGTCGATTTCAGCTCCGCCTCCGAAACCTCCTGCCCTGAAGCCAGCAGCACCAAACGCTGGCCGTTGTCCAGAACGCGAGCCTCCGCAAGCTACGACATGGTGTCTAGCAGAGTCTAGCAGACCTTCGCTTCGTATACGGCCCTAGTACAGTAGCAGCTGGTGCGATTACGGGGTCTCTGCAACGTTGCTGCGCCGGCCTCGCAGTGCTTCACCGCCGGCAGCTCCACGATGGCCTGCTCCAAGGCTTCCAGCTCGATCCGGATGCCCCGCACCTTCACCTGGAAAGCAGCATCAACTTAAAATCTGGTAAAATGCTACGCGCCGTTTGCAGCAGGAGGCATTACAAACACTCGAAGAACGGAGAGGCCTGCCAGTCCACTCGGCCGTGGTATTGGATCCGCCCCGTCTCATCGCGGAGCGCGAGGTCGCCGGTGTTGTAGACGCGGCCGAGCCCCGGCAGGTCGAGGAACTTGGCCTTCGTCTTCTCCTCCTCTTCGAGGTAGCCCCGCGCCAGGCCAATGCCTCCCACGAAGAGCACGCCGCGCTCGCCGTCCGCCTTCCGCTCCAGCGTTTCAGGGTCCAAGATGTAGCAAGTGTAGGTCGGCAGCTCTGCGCCGATGGTGATCACGTCGCCCGGGTTCACGTAGGCGCCGGTGCAGACCACCGAGATCTCCGAGGGCCCGTAGCTGTTGAAGAGGCGACGTCCAGGGGCCCAAGTGGACACCACATCTGCACCCAGCGCTTCTCCTCCAACGTCCAAGATTCTGAGGTGCGGAAGCCCTGCGGAGCTTCTCGAAACGTCGGCTCCACCACCGGCCATGGTGCGCAGGTGCGACGGCACCACGCTCATGCCGGTGATCTCTCGATCCTTCAGCCACACCTGCATGTCAGGACCCGACTTCTTGATCATGTCGGGGCAGGTGACGCTCGTGGCTCCCACCGACATGGTGCCGTAGACTTCGATGATGTGCACATCCCAGGACATGGACGCCACCTGGGCGAAGCGATCATGGGAGCCCAGGCCAACATACTTCCCCCAGATGCGCACCACGTTCAGGGCCGACTTGTGTCGGATCATCACGGCCTTGGGCTTTCCCGTGGACCCACTTGTGAAGATCAGGTAGGCCAATCTGTCGAGATCTTCCGCATCATGCTTGGCGGGAAGCCAGCCCGAGCCCCGGCTGTCCGCCTTCTTCAGAGCCAAGTCGGCGTCGATGACCACGCGCGGGAAGTCGCCCAAAGTCGCCGCGATGTCCGTCAGACCAAGTCGCTTCAAAACCGCGGCGTTGGAGATCATCACTGGTGGGCGCGAGACTTCCACCCAACTTCGAAGCTTCTCCACGGGCTCTCCAACGTCGAAGGCGTTGTATGCACATCTCTCTAACATCACGGCGTGCACGGCTGCGATGCTCCTCACGCCGCGGTCTAGCACGATGGTCACCACATGCTCGTCCGATCTGCGCTGGTGAGCTTCCGGCGCCGACTCGCCTGACACACTGGGGAGGTCCAAGGAAGCCAGAGCTTTGCGGAGAACTTTGCGGATCGAGTTCGCCATGCGGGCGACCTCAAGGGATGCGGACAAGATCAGCATATATCAGCATCAATCAGCTTCGGATCTATGCGGATTCATCTGCTGGCGCCCTATGCGAACTCGCAGTAGTTTCGCCGAAATTCTTGCACCAAGGTCTGGGAACCCTAAATCCGAATCCCAAAACCTAAGCCCAAAGCCCAAAAACTCTGGACCCTACACCTTGCAGAAGATCGAGAACCTCAAGAATCGTCATGACACCATGCTCCTTGTGACCTAACGTCGGGGTGGGCAAGCATTTTGTCACTGCATGCATGCCTTAGGCCGGGAAACTAAACGGTGCAGCCCGAATGATGCAATCTGGAACAGTCGAAGTTTTAGGCGAACAGCATCGGGCCTGCGCAAAAGTGTAGCTCTCCTCCTCAGCTTCTAGGCAGACTCGGTCCGGAGTTGCTTCTGCGGCGGTCAGCAGAAGTTCGGCCAAGTTGGTCTCCACACCAGGCATGCATTGTTGTCCACAAACATTAACCAAGGACAGCTCTTCAAGAGATGGCGCTGCGACAATCGCAGCCATTGCGACTTTACAAGCAGAGCTGCAGAACTGGTACTGTCTGTTTCACCTTGCTCGTCCCGTTCGCGAACCCCCCGCCCCCTTCTGCGAACTTCGGTCTAATAGGCAACGGACCCTCCGTCAAACTCTTACCCCCATGCGTGCGGCCCTGGGGGGGTTGTTGTTCTCCAAAATGGAGAACAACAACCCCACCCACCCCTCTATCGAAGGGGTATGATCCAGAAGGCATGTCATGCTCAAACCCAGGACAAGGTCACAGCGACTGCACATGCATGTTTCAACCGATTCAATTTGTGTGAAGCCTTCTACTCCAGCACGGATCTACCACGACGGGCTTCGGCCAACAACAGCTGAAGAGGAAATGCTGAAGAAGGTCATGTACACACCTCTTGCGGGCCCTCATGCTGTCTTCAACTCGGCTTCACGGACTGAAGGCAAACTCGTTGGTGACTCGTCACACCGAAAACGCAGCAAACTTCTCCTTTTGCATCTGCACATGCCGGCTCCCTTGGGAGCACCTGAAACGTGTCTCAATGACTCTCAGTGGATGATGCATCCACCGCACAACAGCTCCCTGCATCCGCCGTCCTGCAACAAGTGCCGGGCTGAACTGATTGTATGCAATATACAATTCTCCGGCATGTCAGCATGTTCAACGACGTTCAGGAAACTGTAACTGGATTTTTCATCCAACACCCCACGCTCATAAAAACTGCTGCCACAAGCCAAAATTGCAGAATAGCACCAAATCTGCGCCTCTGTTCCAGGACGGTCACGAGGAAGTGGCAACAGGGGCCACAACTCCTCATCATCTTCAGTGTCGCCTGTCATGATAAGCGTCATCATTGGATAAACTCCTACAAGCCCTTCCCGGCCTGGATACAAAGTCGCATAATGGCGGTCCGAAGTGAACGACCTAGCTTGGCAGCAAACAGGCTCAATCGCTTGAAGCTCAACTACTGTGAGGTCCAAACAACGACGCGCGTACCCAAATTTAGTTCGGGCAAACCCTCGCCAGCTTGTGAACAAAAAACAGGCGTTCTGCTAGATGCGTATAACGCACCTCGAGCTAGCACGAGCCAATATTCACAGAAGTTCGAGTCGTATTTCGGCAGGCTCTTGCATGCCGCTTCTGCCCCACCGAGTTTGCGAAATGGGTCTACTGATCATCAAAGGTTACTTACTTCCTTCCGTGCTAAGCTCCAGGCACGGAAGCCCAAGCAACAAAGATGGCATAAACCTGAAGACGGCCATCTTCCAGATGGTACCCAGCCTGATGGCAGACAAACAGCACGCACAGGACGCCAAGATGTTGGTTTAAGGCCAGGACGTCTGCGACGATCAAGCTGTGCACCATCCCCACATACGCGATCTCTACCGAGATGTGTGTGAGGCGCTCCTCATCCCGTGCAAACTGAATCATGCATTGGCCAACCAGAAAGACTGCGAAGACAGCATTGCACACAAGCCTCTTCCACACCGAATATCGCCAAGAACTCCCAAATCCTGTGCATGTATCTGCATCTAGACCAGGCTCTCACAAGGATTGGACGGACAAGCTGCAAATCAAGAGACAATGCTGTCCCAGAGAGCCGAAAGCAGCTTAAACAAGGAATGTGTCCTCACGAAGCATGAGTGGATTAGCAAAAAAACTTTTGACAAAAGCTTTCGGGCTTGCTTAATTAAGAAACAAACGGCCTTTTTGAGGATTCATGCTGCCTAATTAGACCATGTTCGGGCATGATTAACCATGCGGCTTGAAATCTGAGCCATTATGGCTTAACGAAGCAGCCAGGTGGTGTTGCGCCAAACAAACGAATTAAGCAATAATAAATGCTTTTCAAAATTTGTGCATGTGTACATATCGGCTTGTGTATTTGATTGAAACCTACATCTATTTCTGGCTAATATGTATCTATTTACGTATAAAGATTATGTCGGCTTGGGAAAGCTGGGGAATTCTTGGATTCCTCGCACACATGCTGCCAGATATGCGCTTTGCGTTCGAATCTCCTTCTGCACTCATCCTGGCATCGGCTATTTCTAAGGCACCGTGGATGACGAGGAACTTCCTGCATGCTGTGGCGAGCCCTCTGTAGCACTTTGCCAAATAGCGACCTGGATGCATGACTGCCGAATGCCCCGCCATTTCAGTATCTCAAACGGGGTGTCGCGCATGCAGTTTGTAGCATGGTGTTCGGCATGCTTTATGCAAATCATCATGTCCCGGTCGTTGCAGCCTGATGCCGATTAACTCAATTAGCAAACTGTGCTTTGGCAGGGCCATGCTTGTTTACACACACGATGTGCTTGTTTTGTTTGTTTTCTTGCATACATACATATACACATGTATCTGCTGTCATGCCTGCATGCAATATGCATGCACACAGACACATATGATACAACAGTACATTTTATACTATACTACTATGTTACTATCTACTATTCGAATGTATGATCAATGAAGCACAGATCGGGCATGCATGTGTTCAGCCAGGTTCGATGGAGCTGCGCAATGCACCGTCACCATTGCAGGAGCTTGGTATCCACACATGAGTCATGCATCCATTGGCCTGTGCATATGGCTTATGGTTTGTGGACAATGTTGACTTTTTCAGATCTGCACATCTATTATTGTTTTACATGCATGGGTTTTGCATGTTTTGCTGGTGTGCTGTGTTCGGTGCGGTTACTGTGTCTGTGCATGTCTGTGTGTGCGATGTGTGTGTGTGTTGTGTGCGTGTGTTGTGAGTGGGTTGTGTGCTGTGTGCTGTGTGTTGTGTGTTGCGTGTTGTGTGTTGTGTAATGTGTGTGTGTGTGCGCGTTGTATGTGTGTGTTTGTGTTGTGTGTGTGTGTGTGTGCGTGTGCTGCGTGTGTTGTATGTGTGTGTGTGTGCGTGTTGTGTGTGTGATGTGTGCGATGCATGCGTGTGTTGCGAGTGGCATTTGTGTCTGTGTGTGTGTGTGTTTGTGTGTGCTGTGTGTGCTGTGTGTGTGTGTGTGTTGTGCGTGTTGTGTGCGTGTGTGTGCTGTGCGTGTGCGTGTGCGTGTGCGTGTGCGTGTGCGTGTGCGTGTGCGTGTGCGTGTGCGTGTGCGTGTGCGTGTGCGTGTGCGTGTGCGTGTGCGTGTGTGTGTGTGTGCGTGTGCGTGCGGGCGCACGCGTGCCTGTGTGTGTCTCTGTGTGTTTGTGTGTTGAGCATGTGTCTTGTGTGTGACGTGGTGTGTTTCTGTGTGTTTTGTGGTGTGTGTTTCTTTGCTTTGGTGTGTGTTGTTTGTTGTGTGTCCGTGTGCCGTGTGTGTCGTGTGTGTTTGTGTGTTGTTGTGCGTGGTGTTGTGTCATTGATGTAGTGGTGTACTTTTGCGTACACATGAATAACATTGCCATGTGCCATCATGGTTTGAGGAATGTTTTGTCTGCCGCTAATTGAGCAAGACACGTCACGGAAGTTAAGCAACCGGTTCAAGTCTAAAAAAAGACGGCTTGTTTGAGCTATGCTCTTCTTAAACATTGAATAGGCTCTCTGGGGTTGCTGCTTGCCATCGTTAAGTCTTGTGTGAGCGCGACATTCACAGCTGAGCCCGCGGCTCCATACAGCGATCATGATCCAAAATGCACGCTTGCAAGACGAACAATGCTGCAATTTCGTCGACCTTGCAAGAAGAAGACTGCTGTGCTTCGCAAGGAGGGACGCCACACAGACGATGCCTGCCAACTTCGAAGAATGAACTGCAGGAAGAGTTCGATCAAAGCCATTTCCCGGGGCGACAAGCGCAAGTCGCCCTGTGCATCAGTTCCTTGGAACTGCCACAGGCGTTCAATCCACGGGTCCATGGCAGCCATTGCGCAGTAAACTGTGTAGAGATCTGGCAACATGCTTTCAAGGAGGGTTTTGCACTTCGCAAGTACTTGCGGGTATTGTGTCATGCTACCTGAAGCTGTCTGCAAATCATCCACATGTCTACAAAGCGGCTGGCCGCTCAGGTAAGAGTGGCAAAAGATCCGGGTCTGCCACTGCTTTGAGGTCTTGTGGGTGTTTCGAATGTTCTTGGGAAGACCGACTGATTCGGCGACGACACTTTTTCCTCAAAGGCTCCTGAGTGCTTCCAGGTGAAGCGACAATAGGCCGTCGATTCGTGCCTTCAAGTTTCCGTCTGTAAGCTCTGACGCCCGCAGGGCCAGGACAGTCGCAAAGAGTGGATAATCTTGGGCAGCGTTGCGGCTGGCTTTCGACATCTCCTCCATTTGGGCAACTGCCTCTGCATAAAAATGTGTGGTCCTTCCAGGCAGAAGCAGGCTCTTCAGTGGCATCAGCCACGAGCGGTCAGTCACGCCGCTGACCATTTCGGAAACGAGGGCTCTGTGGGGACTGCAGCGCAAAGAATGCCTCCCTCCTCGCATTTGCTCGCCAATGGTCCAAATGGTCGGTGCGAGAACGCGCTTCAAACTGGGACATCCATGTATCGCAAACTGTCCCAAAAGCCAGCGAGAATTGAGGTGGCCGCGGGGTGCTGCAGCTGCAGCAGCATGCGCCAATGCAATTAATGCTGTCGACGCATGCTCAAACCACTTCGGGTGGGCAGCTAAGGATCTGATGCCTCAGTCAAAAAGAGCGCCTATTCATCTCAACATGATGCCTGGGAAACCGACAGAGATGCTGTGGCTGCAACAAAAGCGTCCCAGTTGCAATGCCACGGTTTCCATAAGGCGGGCAGGCGCCGGAATTGCGGAACTCGACACTTCCTTTTGCTACGTTCATCACGCCGCGAAGCAACGAAAGCACTGCCCTGCCTTGACAACTCTTTCAAAGATGTCCGGCTATCAGCCCCGATGAGCCCAGCCTCCATGGCAATTAGATCATCTTCGCACTACCAATACAAGCGGATCATCGTGCCACCTTGACTCATGCTGAAACGTTGTTTTTGCGCCTGTCGCTGATTAATTCCGTACCACACGGTATCCCAAACTGCTCCACGCAACATGTTTATCTACATTACGAAGGCGG